TCCATTGCAATTAAGTTTCTTGAAAAAGATTTAACTAAACCCGAAATACAGTGAAGGTAGAGAATGATAATCGCATGGGAAGAAAAAGAGCCACAGATGGTAAGATACAAGGACACATCGGTGGTGGTGATGGAATTAGGGGTGATGGCTGAGTATATGTTGCTAATATTACCCATGGTGATTATGATATTCATGATCCTGCTGCAGCTATGGTATTGATGGGACTAAAATTGATCTTGGTGGTTTTTATGTTGGTGCCAGTGTTGATGATGTTAATGTTGCTGATTATTAATTTGGAGCATGAGGCCAGTACACAATGGTCTGGTTTTGATGGTCGTGATTGTACTGGTGATTGTGTCGATGTGGTGGTGACGTTGTTAACGTTCACCTCCTGCACATTGACTCCCATGTCAATCGCGTGTTGGATCAGGTCGATGGCCGCGTCGTGAGACAGAGCATTGAGGTTGTATTTAGTCCTGAAAAACATCATCGTAGTCGGTAGCATTAGCATCATCATTGGCAGCTGCATGAATCAACATCAGCATGAGCAGCATCATCGACAATAGCAGCGTGATCAGCATCGTCATTCAAAGCAGCGGCAGACCCATCATCACCATTGTCATATCACCATAACCACTTTTTACTACCACCACTATTACCGTCTCTGCATGCAGGTTGAGATGTAGTTTGGGGAGAGAATCTGAAGGGCCCAACCGACGAAACTGCTCGCCTCCCCATTCAGTTGCTCAAAGAGTTGCTCCCTCTCTTTCTCGGACAATGTCTTAGAGTCTGGATGGGACACGGGGGATAACGGGGAGGTGCAAGCATACACAGGGGGAAAAAGGGGACAGGGAGGTGCAGGGAGACACATGAAGGGAGAATGAAGAGACACGGGGAGAGACATGGAGATGTAGGGAGATAAAGGGAGACACAGGGTAATGAGGAAACTGATTTCAGGGACTAAGTATTATAAACATGGAAATTATGAACCTCCTGTTGGTGAATTGTATGGTTATGATTTACCTGCAACTTTGATCTTTTCAAGTGCAGACTTCTTAGAGACAAGACAGTAGCAGATTCCATAAACCATGGGTCCTGAACACACAAACATATACGCACATTGAAATATACATTCAGTACACATATACAAGGATTTTTTTTTTCGATGTAGTGACATGGAATGGATCACTATGGCGCACAACGCTGGTTGCTGGCAGAGAAGGGGATCTGCTGTTGGAGCAGCCGGAGAAATGGATGTGGGGCAAAGGTGATAGAAGGGGCACGTGAGGTAAAGCCCAGGAATCTTATAGTAGGTTCTAGAAGGGGTGCGTGGCCAAAGGCAGAGCGAGGCCACGCTGGGTGGATAAACGGGGACCCCGAGCAAGGTTCGGGGCTGTTGTTTGTAGTGGAACCGTCATGCTGCTGGAGTCTTCGTCACCATCTTCACCTCCTCGGCGTTGTTTGTCAGGCAGCCTGTTAGCTGTCCTGACCATAGTGTAGTTACTCCTTGTACCTCTGAAGGCTATAATAAATAGAGTGCCTCCTACTATTAGTGTCTCTGAGTGACTCACTACATATATAAAATCAAAAAGATTGCGGAATAAAGTCCTTACAATGTAAGGCATGAACAGAAATGCAATGCACTGCATTAAACCTGACCTTCCCACTGTGTGTGTGCACGCGGCCAGGTGACTTAACAGAGCTGTCACACAATCAGGCACCATCAACTACAAGGTGGTGATATGCAAAATATCAGATTTTGTTCACGTTAGTTTCCGCCAATCACCCGCGAAAACTATTGCCATGTTACACAGATCATACGCACTCTCTTTGAAAGAAACTGTGAAGACATTAGTTTCACTTTTTTATACGCGTTTACCCAGGAAAACCTAAATGAGTCACACGGCTCTGTTTCAGGATGGTCCTGCCAAGTTTTTCACCGTAGGGGGTGATGTTGCTACGTGTAATCCCAATTGTGTTATTTTCAGGTAATTTTCAGTATTGGAATGTTTGGCTAACCAGTTACATTGCATTGTTTTAACTCACTCTGTTGTTGTCGTATCCTCAAATATTGTAACTCAATTTTTACCCACTTCCCAGTGTGGTATCGACTGCAAACTTTGTATACTTATGTCATACTGATGACAATACTATACTCTATCATTTAAAAAACACATTTTACAACATTCTTTTTTATATGTTATGTTTCGGCTTGGCTCTGATTGTCCACGGCCAACTGACGTTGGCTGTAAATGACCACAGTCCCTTACGTTATAAAGCTTTGAGCCCACTTCCTGGAGTCGTCGAGTTCTTCCATTACAAGTACGGTACATTTCATTAAAGCGTGTTTTAAAAAAAGTTTTTTTAAATATTACTTATTCATTGTTCTACGGCAGGAAACCAAAAATAGCTGGAGGAAACTTATGCAGAACCGTAGACGCACACTCAAATTCCACACCGAAATGAGCCACAGTTAGGAGTTGAACCTAGGACCCTTTTTGCTGATGCACAAAGTGTTACCAATGCGCTATCCTGCCACCCTCGTTTGAACAAATGTGATGAGTAAATTGAGACTTTCCAGGAGAAGACTTCCATGTCGCAAGCAGTGAGGTATCGAGGTAAAAGGAGACTACAATACACTTTGATGCGGACCCACATTTAGCCATTCACAGTTCAGGGGCCAGCACACCGAGCCAACCAACAACTGCTGAAGATCCTAGGTTCGACAATGAAAATATTATCGGAGCATGTTTTATGCATGATCACCACAAGTACGTGTGGTTAAAGTAGACATGAGTCCTTGCAAAAGGTATTCATTTGGTATTTGAACATCTTAACACCTGTTTTATTTCCAGAAAGGGTCAAATATATTCTTATTTTTTGATAATCTCATACCAATATTACAATTTTAATACAATTGTGAACATGGCAAAAAAAACTGACGAGCAATTTTGGATAAAACCCCAAAAAACATTCTACATTGATATATTATGGATAAAAGTGATAATGTACCTCATATACATTACGTATATGCATATACAGTACTAACAATTCATCTACAACACATACATCCTGGATGAACCCCCCAAACGACCTTTGGTTATGAGTCTCGTAGATTAATTAACCCGAATAGCTTTTGTCTGTCTTTTAAGAGCCTCGTACACGAACACTGCATCCTAAGTGAACCATTGTATGGATCTACAACCCTCGACGTTCCCCAATGAGCCCTCGTGTAGCTTTATGAGCCTCGTACACAAACACTAAACTCCAGAGAATCCTAGTCTGGCTCTGCGAGCCTCATTGGACCCCTGCTCTGGCTCTGAGCCTCATACTGAATCCCGGAGAGCCCTGGTTTGGCTCTGTGAGCCTCACACTGAACCCTAGGTCTGGCTGTGAGCCACACACTGGATCCCAGGTCTGGCTCTGTGAGCCACACACTGTATCCCAGGTCTGGCTCTGTGATCCACACACTGGACCCCAGGTCTGGCTCTGTGAGCCACACACTGGACCCCAGGTCTGGCTCTGTGATCCACACACTGGACCCCAGGTCTGGCTCTGTGAGCCACACACTGGACCCCAGGTCTGGCTCTGTGATCCACACACTGGACCCCAGGTCTGGCTCTGTGAGCCACACACTGGACCCCAGGTCTGGCTCTGTGAGCCACACACTAGACCCCAGGGAGCCCAGGTCTGGCTGTGAGCCACACACTGGACCCCAGGTCTGGCTCTGTGAGCCAAACACTGGACCCCAGGTCTGGCTCTGTGATCCACACACTGGACCCCAGGTCTGGCTCTGTGATCCACACACTGGACCCCAGGTCTGGCTCTGTGAGCCACACACTAGACCCCAGGGAGCCCAGGTCTGGCTCTGTGAGCCACACACTGGACCCCAGGTCTGGCTCTGTGATCCACACACTGGACCCCAGGTCTGGCTCTGTGAGCCACACACTGGACCCCAGGTCTGGCTCTGTGAGCCACACACTAGACCCCAGGGAGCCCAGGTCTGGCTGTGAGCCACACACTGGACCCCAGGTCTGGCTCTGTGAGCCAAACACTGGACCCCAGGTCTGGCTCTGTGATCCACACACTGGACCCCAGGTCTGGCTCTGTGATCCACACACTGGACCCCAGGTCTGGCTCTGTGAGCCACACACTAGACCCCAGGGAGCCCAGGTCTGGCTCTGTGAGCCACACACTGGACCCCAGGTCTGGCTCTGTGAGCCACACACTAGACCCCAGGGAGCCCAGGTCTGGCTCTGTGAGCCACACACTAGACCCCAGGGAGCCCAGGTCTGGCTCTGTGAGCCACACACTGGACCCCAGGTCTGGCTCTGTGAGCCACACACTGAATCCTTGGTCTAGCTCTGTGATCCACAAACTGGACCCCAGGGAGCCCAGGTCTGGCTCTGAGCCACACACTGAATCCTAGGTCTGGCTCTGTGAGCCACACACTGGACCCCAGGTCTGGCTCTGTGAGCCACACACTGGGCCCCAGGGAGCCCAGGTCTGGCTCTGTGAGCCACACACTGGACCCCAGGGAGCCCAGGTCTGGCTCTGTGAGCCACACACTGGACCTCTTGTCTGGCTCTGTGAGCCACACACTGGACCCCAGGGAGCCCAGGTCTGGCTCTGTGAGCCACACACTGGACCTCTTGTCTGGCTCTGTGAGCCACACACTGGACCCCAGGGAACCCAGGTCTGGCTCTGTGAGCCACACTGGGCCCCAGGGAGCCCAGGTCTGGCTCTGTGAGCCACACACTGGACCTCTTGTCTGGCTCTGTGAGCCACACACTGGACCCCAGGTCTGGCTCTGTGAGCCACACTGGGCCCCAGGGAGCCCAGGTCTGGCTCTGTGAGCCACACACTGGACCCCAGGTCTGGCTCTGTGAGCCACACACTGGACCCCAGGTCTGGCTCTGAGCCACACACTGGACCCCAGGTCTGGCTCTGTGAGCCACACACTGGACCCCAGGTCTGGCTCTGTGAGCCACACATTGGACCCCAGGTCTGGCTCTGTGAGCCACACACTGGACCCCAGGGAGCCCAGGTCTGGCTCTGTGAGCCACACACTGGACCCCAGGTCTGGCTCTGTGAGCCACACTGGGCCCCAGGGAGCCCAGGTCTGGCTCTGTGATCCACACACTGGACCCCAGGGAGCCCAGGTCTGGCTCTGTGAGCCACACACTGGACCCCAGGTCTGGCTCTGTGAGCCACACACTGGACCCCAGGTCTGGCTCTGTGAGCCACACACTGATTCCTTGGTCTAGCTCTCTGATCCACACACTTGACCCCAGGGAGCCCAGGTCTGGCTCTGTGAGCCACACACTGGACCCCAGGTCTGGCTCTGTGAGCCACACACTGGACCCCAGGGAGCCCAGGTCTGGCTCTGTGAGCCACACACACTGACTGACTGACCCAGCACGGGTCCCCGTCCCGCCTCGTCCACGCCGAGCGCCACGGGCTCCGTGAGGCAGGGCACCGGCACGGGAGACGAGACACGGCAGCTGCCGGTGTTGTCCGACTCGAATGCGCTCAGATCCATCGGACAATCGAAGGAATCAAAATAAATAAAATAACTCCCACGGTAGTTTATTTGTTATCAATCAGAATTCGGCCTTCGACTTTTGCGACAGAGCGGGCCGTCCGTCCTCCCACCGCCCTTTTCCCGCCAAATGTCTCGGCAGCGACGGTTGCGGTCATCAAGCGACGCGAGTAGATCGGCGGCCATGATGGGTAGGGTTATACCGTTGCGAGTGGAGGGGGGGTGCGGAATGACGCCACCGGTTCTAGCGTCGCGTCTTGGTGACGTCCCGCCGGTGGCTGTTTCCCCGCCCCGCAAGAGCCGCTTCCCTTAGCAAGATGGCGCGCGGGGGGCAGGACCGGGGGTATCATCATCAATTCGTTGTCAAACGCAATAATGTTTCTACATCATTAGACCTCCTTTGCCAGTACCAAAATGTAATAATAGGGGGTTTTCCCCTTTTTTCTGGCAACAAAACTGAAACCTTTTTACGAGGATTCATGTCTGCATTAACCACAATACCTGCCAGAAAAAAGGGGAAAAACCCTATTATTACATTTTGGTACTGGCAAAGGAGGTCTAATGATGTAGATGCTCACCCCGTGCCCTCATTACTTTGATAGTGGCATTGTCTTTGAGCTGTGTGACGCCTGAAGGCCGCTTATGTTGTGTCCGAAACGTCGTGAGAATTTTATTGTGTTATTTTATCAATTTATTATTTAATTCTCATTCTACGTGGTGACTTTACCGAAAGAACCAAAGAAGATGTGTGACGCCTTTTGGCGTCATCTGGTCGAGCACCAATGGGGTCGAGGCTCAAAAGAAAGCCGTCTCTGGTGTGGACCAATCAGTTTCAAGGACAATGCATCATATATTATCATAGTATGTTTTTTTATTTGCATTTTGACTGCAGGTATTGTGGTTAATGCAGACATGAATCCTTGTAAAAAGGTTTCAGTTTTGTTGCCAGAAAAAAGGGGAAAACCCCTATTATTATAACAATGTTTCTGTTTGGTGTTTGAACATCTTAACACCACCATATTTATTCCTGCCTCAGTTGCTCTCCCGATATATTTTTTCACCTGATGACGATTGCTTGTGTTGCGATCGTGATATTTTTCTATCTACGTGGCTTTACCGAAAAACCCAAAGAATATTAACACCATATTCTTGAATTTTGATTTAAAGCTTTCGTGACTGCAGGGATTCATATTCTTGGTTCTTTCGGTAAAGTCACGTAGAAGGGAAGCAATAAAATAATACAAATATAAAAAATAAAATTCTCACGACGTTTCGACTGCAACACAAGCAATCATCATCAGGTGTGATGATTTATTATTTTATTGTTTCCCTTCTACGTGACTTTACCGAAAGTACCAAGAATGTGAATCCCTGCAGTCACGAAAGCTTTAAATCAAAGAGTCCATCTATGTTCGGAAAAGAGGAGAGGGGGGAGACGAAAATAATGGATGTGGCCTGAAAGCCACCGTAAGCGTGAACAATCAACTAAGACCCGAAATGGTTTATCAAATCCTTCCAATGATTGCTTTACCGAAAGAACCGAGAATATGAATCCCTGCAGTCACGAAAGCTTTAAATAAATAAATAAAAAATACTGACACCACTTGTTTTATTGCCAGAAAGTATAAAACCTATTCTTATTTTTTCCATACTTTAATGTTGGTATAGGAAAAAAAGGTTCCCATTTAGTAACTGCTCACCTCGAGCGACAAAATGCCCTGGCAGTGCATTGTCCTTGCACTGGTCGCCTTTTAGCGTTCTCTGGCGTGACACTGGCGGCGGTGAGACCAGGCCATAAAGAAGGCTGTCACTGGTGGTGACCAATCAGTAACAAACACAATGCACAAGTGCCTGCGTGTGTGTGTGTGGTTAATGCATCTTAAACGCCTTGTTGCATTGTTATTTAATTTTTTTCATACTTTGATACCGGCGGCGGTAGCAGCAGCAAGAGCAACAACAAAAAGGTCCCGCACTATAATAATAAACACGGTGGAGCCAGGTTAGATGATCCCGCGTCTTCTTTGGTTCTTTTGGTAAAGTCACGTAGAATGAGAATTAAATAATAAATTGATAAAATAAAAGTGGGTCAGACAGACGTGTAGATTCACACAGATGTCTGTAGACTCAAGTTGCTCAGACAGACGTGTAGATTCACACAGAGGTCTGTAAACTCAAGTACACACAGATAGACGTGTAGATTCACACAGAGGTCTGTAGACTCAAGTTGCTCAGACAGACGTGTTGATTCACACAGAGGTCTGTAGACTCAAGTTGCTCAGACAGACGTATAGATTCACACAGAGGTCTGTAAACTCAAGTACACACAGATAGACGTGTAGATTCACACAGAGGTCTGTAAACTCAAGTTGCTCAGACAGACGTATAAATAAAATAAAATAACACAATAATATTATTTTATCAATTTATTATTTTATTCTCATTCTACGTGACTTTACCGAAAGAACCAAAGAAGATGAATCCTTGCAGTCACGAAAGCTTTAAATCGAAAAGATCCCGCGTCTCTCGAAGGCGGCGGCCGCAGGAAGATTGAAACGAACAAATTAAAATCGCGCTCCGCTGCCAACACCGCCCCCTGCCTACCGTAGCATCGACAGCGGAGGGCGGCGGGCGGCCTCGAGGCGACCCGGCCCGGCTCGGCGGGACAGCGGCGGTCGCTGCTTTGCCCAGGGGAGAGAGGAGGGGAAGAGCGACGCCAACAAAAACTTCGACATTTCCCCCCCTCTCCTCCGCCGTGGCAAAACGAAATGTCTTACCAGCAGGCAGCCGAGGAGAGGGAGCGGATCAGGCGCGAGATCGAGGCCATCGAGCGGTCGCTGCTCGAGAGAGGCGTCCGTATCCCCAGCTCGGGGAGCGAGCCGGGCTCGACTAGCGACTCCTGCGAGGAAACGCGCGAGGAGGGCGGCGGGACAGGTAGGCCCAGGCGGGTGTGGATCTACGGTCTTTTTTTTTAACCCGCATATTAAAAAAAAAACAGTAGAGTATTGTTTGTATAACCGGGGTGAGCGCCTACACTTACATTTAAAGTTGTATTCGGTTGCTATGTGTTTTTTTATTGTATGGGATGAAAAAAATCGTGCTTTTTAAGATATGTGTTTATCGGATGTGGGGCCCCTTGTCAACGATTTATCTCCGTTAACCAGGTAAGATCCCACTGTGATTCATTCCCCGTTATCCTCGTCGCCTCTGGTGTAAAGACAGTTTAACGAGCGTGGACGTAGATTTCAGACATTTAAAAGTTGTGGTTAATCATTCGTATAATCGTTAAATTAATCTGTACATTTGGGCACATTAAACCGATTAGAACAGTAATTCAGGTAGAAAATGACGTGTCGGCCTTTCGTGATAAGAGGGAAATGTTAATTAAATATCACCGTTCCAGTTTAACTGACCTTTATCCATGCTGGGATGTAGGTGCATTCAATTGTGTGTGTGTCAAACCAATGACTTACTCCTTAATGAAGTTATACTTTTGAAAACGATTCATACTTACCTATAATATGATACCCTACCACATGTGTTATGATGAATTTGACTGAAGGTTGTATAATTTGTGAAACTATCCGAATCAGGTGAGAGCTAATTGAGATTACTTACCTCCATTTGGTTGAGGCTTCAACCACGAGGGAGCACATTAACATTGGTCTCCTCTTATGATAGATGTCCTTTATTTAAACAATTGTTGGCCATTGATAATCGTTATCGCTAGATAGACATCGTTTAACAAAGTACAATTGTATTAAAATTAATTATCTTGTCACTGAAATTATTTATACATGCAAGAACCGATTTTATTTTCATTTGTTGTCATTGATGTCCCTGATTTGAGAGCTTATTTTGTAAAGAATTGGTAACCATTCTGAGGCATTAAACACACTTCCAGCTGGGTTAGTTTTGGGTGACTAAGATCCGTATTGAAGCCATTATGAATCCTCTGAAAGTTGGAGATACCCATACCTAATACTTGAATATCGTAGGAGCTCAGGAGTGATGGCTGAGTATTTATCTGAAGGCTATTATGAACCTCCCATCTACCTTGTATCATGGATAATTACATGCCAATGTTTTTTTTCAGATTTCCTGCAAAGGATTTCAGATTTTGATGCCACAAATGTCACTCTGCATCAACTGCAGGTGGGGGTGAGTCTTTAAAGGAAAACCGTGATATTCTCCAGTCGCAGCGTACCATGTGACTGCGTGTTCTGGGCTTTCTAACACAGGCTAACACAGGCTAACACAGCCCCCCCCCCGAGCCGCATTTCTTCTCCCCCTAGCGCTAGCGCAGCTCTCCCCTAACCTCTCTCTGCCCTTGCCCCCGCCCCTCTCTCTCTCTCCCCCCTTGCCTCCCCCCTTTCTTGCCTATATAACCTCTTGCCACGGCAGCTCTCTCGCCCACTTCAGCAGTTTTCTTGCTGTGGTTGTCTCACCCGATGAAGATTGATTGTGTTGCGATCGAAACGTCGTCATTTGTTTTATTTTATTTCTACCTACGTGAATTTACCGAAAGAACCAAAGAGTACAGGCTAAAAGCTCAGTGCATGAGGAAATACTTTGACATCCCTGCAAAGCGTACTAGTGCGATGTATGAGCATGTGATGTTTTTACACAGCCAATGTATATAGCTACTCGAGAAGACTTGTTTGTTTTCAGATTGTGATTGTCCTTAAGAAAAACATGGACATGTTTGATCAAGGATGGACTACAGAGCTGTGTTTACATGACTCACGAGTGTCAAAACTGACAAACCCAGACTGTAAACCAGGCTGACCTGGCCAGCACGTCTCTCTAAACAAAGCTGTGCACAGGGCTTTTATCACATCGCTGTCAAAGATGTAATGGAGGCCAGGATATTTTTTATATTCTGTTCACCAGCCATCATACCCCATCCTCAGCCTGCTACATGATGTCACAGACTTCACCAATCTGGAAACAGAACCTGCCCTCCCAGAGGGCTAACCCAGTGGTCCCAGGCATGGTCTCTTGGGACACCAAATTTTAAGATACTGGCAGAAAGGTTAAAGACAGATTCAAAATGGATGTGGCTTGATGCAAGAAGTGTCGTGTCCTCTTATAGAAAGTTGGTGTGTCTCCTGCAGGAAGTGGATGCAGGCTCTGACTCAAGTGAGGAGGATGATGGTTTGCTACCCCAGGATGCACCCACGTGCCTCTCCATCAACCTCCTCTACCAGGAGCTTCTGCAGGAGCGACTCCGGGACCTTGATGGGCTCTTGCAGCAGAACTGGGACCAGCAGGTTTGCATTTGAGTCTACCGAGAGGTTGGCCAGTCCGCAGCGGAGAGAGTGAGCAAGTAGTGAGTGGGTTACACATTTGTGCGTTGAGTTTACGGGCTAGAATATTTATCAGTATTAAATAAGACTATTGTTATTAGATAGCTATAGATGTTTAGCAAGGCTTGTCGTAATTAGTACATTTATTGGAATGTATTGTGTTCCCAATACATGCAATGAATTGGTCGTGTGAAACTCAATTATAGTCCATGCACATTTTATGAAAAAATATTTAAGGCTTCTGATAAAACGGCACAGCTGACAGAGGCAGTGTAGACAAGACCGTACAAATGATATGGACTACACACAAGGCCGAATAAACAAGACTACCAATCATACCGTACAGATGAGAAAGAAAAAACACAAGATATATTACAAACGAGACAGACATTGTAAAATGCATGGTGTAAATAAGCTGGTCTGACATTGGTGGTGAGAGTCAGCTTGGAGTTGGACATAATTTTAGTGTGAGTCGGCCTACAATGGACATGAGGGTGATAGTGATAGTAATAATGATGATACTGATGATCATGGTGCTGCATGTTTGTATGCATGTGTATGTCCACATGTGTATGTGCTTGTGTTTGTTTAAAATCAACACAGGAGGCGCTAAAGCGTGAATCTTTGGACAGGGACCTGGCCAGCGGAATGGTCCGCTCAGCCCAAAAACACCTCCACCTTGGCAGTTTCCTGAAACCTTACTTCCGGGATACTACTTCTGGACTGGGGCCTCCAGATAATCCTGAGACGAAAAACATGACTTCCTGCGGACACAAGAACTTCACTGCTTATGATCTCCGTCGATGTAATTAAATGCACGATACAGTGTCTTGAGACAGGGACTCGGGTTCGAAGTCTCAAGTGAGACTCAGCTTTTAGAGACTTGACTTCAGTATCTGTGTTTTGAGACATAGTTTCCAAATCGGTGTCTTAAGACTGGGTTTGACTCCCAAAAGATCAGGTTTCAGGAATAATTTATTTCAGGATCAGTATCTTGAGAGCAGCTTTATGAATGAGTTTTGATTGAGACTAAATTGCAGCATCAATATCTTACAACTGGCTTTCATAACTTTTTTTTTAAGCTCAGGTGTAGATGACTGGGTCTCAGGCTTTGCGTGATGTTTGTCTTTTAATATTCTCAGGGACTGAACGAGAGAAGGAGTCTTTAAGACAAGCAGTGCTGATGGATTCACTGCAGAGCCGTTTACAACCCTTGGTTACCAGGTCAGATATCCCTTCTTGTCAACTCGAACTGCTTTTTATGTTTAGTTTGTTGTCCTTCCCCTGCACCTTCGATTAGCACGGCTGGATATGTATAGTGCAAAAGAAGTTCAACGTATATATATACACACGTACTGCACCGAAACAACATATGACTATTTTCTAGTAGCTACTCATCTAGGTTGCCCATCTTAGGCTGTGTCACATGGGTTTGAAGCTTCGGTTTTAAGAAAGAGACATCAATAAAACACAGTCATGTGCATCATTATGGAGCGCTCGTGTTGTCACTGCTATACATTTTGTTTCAACATTGAATACTATGATGTAGTAATAACCCTATAGCGTTAAAACCAGATGCTCGTGGTGATGCCTGCTAAGATAAGTCCTTGAAGAATGCATTAACTGCTTAACAAGGTAAAAACTAAAGCCAGATGGCGGTAGTGAGACTGTAGAGCGATGCTTGGAACACAGGTCTCGACTTCGCAACAGCTGCAGAATCGGGCAGAAGGAATTAATTGATGGCACGATGTGGTGGATTGATGGCATTGGCCCTGATGGCTTTTTAACCTTGACCTATGTTCAAAATACTATGTTAAGCTGGGGGAGTGGTGGTACAGTGGTTGGTGCACTGCACTAATAACTCCACTGCCTGAGTTTGATTTCTGGCCACGACTAACATCAATGGCTGATGGTATCTCAATCAAACTTGGGCCTTCTCCTTCTTTAACAAGCACTGCACAGTGTGGTGAAGTATAATCAAACAAATTCCTCTGACCGATACAGCAAGGGAAGGCGTTTATCTGCCAGTTGATTGAAGGATTGACAAAGCGTAGAGAGTTGTGTGATGCAAAGTACCCTACGTTGATGCCAATTCAAATACGTCGACTTGGCATACAATGTATATGTCTTTCTGCATATGCTCAGGCTCAACACCACAGAGGTGAAAATGGAGAGAATGGGGGAGGATGAAGACAAGTCGGCGATTATAAGCTCCATCGACCTCATGAAACAGGATATAAACAGAGTGAAGTGAGTGGGAAGGAGACGTCGAGTTGTTCAATGTCTGCGTGGCATGGCCATCATGGACCTAACATCTGTAATGAACCCGCGGAGGGAGAGAAACACCCAGATTAACGGCTTGACTTTGGATCTCAGCAATGCTTATTCTGTTTCTCTTGCATGGCCATTATGCACCTGACACACCCGCGACAGACAACCATATTCAGGGTTTGAACTGAGGACCTTTGTCGTATTGACATTTGTGACACCACTGTGAACCAGATACAGCCAATGTGAAGAGAGAGACACCCAAAACGAGGGATTAATTTCAGAGCTTCAGCGATTCTGATTCCATATCTCATACAACCATTATTTACTCATAAAGACAGAGAAGCACCCATACCCAGAGTCAACAGCCTGAATCTTAGTGGTGCTGACTCAGTGTTTGACGTGGCTTGTACTAACCTGACGTAACCATTATTAACCCAGTAAGAGAGGGAGAGAGACACTCGGACCCAGGGCTTGAAATCAGGATCTCAAGGTTGCTCGTTCAGTGTCTCTTACATGACTATTAGAAACCTGACATGGTCATTATTAATCCCGAAAGAGAGAAAGAGACCCATACCCTCGTGCTTGAACATATGCTATTATAGGTGCTAGCTCAGTGTTTGTCACGATCATTGTGCACATTCTTAGCAACCATAGAATTCTAAAGATGCTGCTCATGGTGATGATGATGTTGTTTCTGGTGTTGCTGCTTATGACGATGTTTCTACTGATGATGGTAATGTGGCTAATGATGACGGTGATGATTATTTCCTCTTCGTTGCAGAAATCTCCCTGAAAATGAACTTATGGGCGACAAGGACGACCGCCACGATTGGCTCAAAATCGCTAATTTTGACGTGAGTTTTTTTTCTGTAATTATCATGCCAATAATGAGCGCACACACATTCAGTTTTGTCACGCACAAAAAAATACAACACAAAAAACACGTTCATATCTACCAGCCCTGTGGACCTTTCAGAGACAGTATTTTGAGTGAATGATGATGTGTGTGTTTGACCCCGCGGGGCAGAGCAGATGGCAGGCAAGCGCAGCCCCACGGAGGTGGAGAAGTTCTGGAGGTACTCTCTGCACCCGGGCGTGAACGCGACGACCTGGCAGAGCCACGAGGACAAGGCCCTGCACAAGCTCGTCTCACAGCACGGGCACAACGCGTGGGGCGACATCGCAAGCAGGCTCGGGGTAGCCATGAACACCCAACGGAGTAGGGGGGTCGGGGGTTAAAAGTCATAATGGGTGTGTTAGATACGCTGGACCTGTTCAGCGTATCTAACAGGAGGTCCTAGGTTCAAGAACTAGTTATTTTGGATCGCTGTGAAAAAGAGATTTACAGCTCATCGGATTCCTCCAGTATAAATAAATACAGTATTCAGATTCTGATGAGCCAGCACTTCTGAGATTCTGGGTTCAAGACCGAGTTATGGGTGTTTCTTTGTCAAGCCCTTGGTTAGGGTGTATCTATGTCGATGTCTCACACGAGAGCATCAAAATAGTTATGTCAGATTCACTGAGCTCACACCACAGGTTCTGTATTCAAGCCCTAAGTCCTGGCATCTCTCTTTCAAGAGATTCACAAGTGCTGCTTCTGGGACTTCCCCCCCCCCCCCCACCATTTTCTTATCAAGTTCTCCCCGTCTTTCCTCTTCCTTTCAGACCAATCGCACGGCGTTCCAGTGCTTGAGTCGGTTCCAGAGGACGAACCGCGCGTTCCGACGCAAGGAGTGGACTGAGGGGGAGAACGAAGCGCTCATCCAGCTGGTGGAGGCTATGCGAATCGGGGAACACATCCCCTTCACCCGCAGTGAGACATGCTCGCTCACTCTCATCCACTCGCATTCACACACTCATGCGAATCGGGGAACACATCCCCTTCACCCGCAGTGAGACACGCTCGCTCACTCTCATCCACTCGCATTCACACAATCATGCGGATCGGGGAACACATCCCTTCACCCGCAGTGAGACACGCTCGCTCACTCTCTCAATCACTCGCACAGTCACCCACTCACTCACACACTTACTCACTCGCCCACTCACCGAACTGCTCACTTGACCATTCACAGTTAAATTATTCAAAGTTCTGAAGGGAACAAAATCGGTTATTGTCCTTGGAAATCCAAAATCCTATTGTTATAAATCCGAAACTGCCTAGTGTGTATGAATACAACGTCAAAGTAATTTCCTGCTCAAATGAGAGTTAAGGCTCCAGTGCTTGTCCTCCGTTTGTAACCTTGAACCAGTGGTTTAAATTCCACATTCCTATGGCAGGGCAGCAACCTTTATCATAGGGCAACCACTGTTGATTTCCCCACATTTTGGTGCGAATTTTATAGGCCTCCCAACCAGGATTTGAACTCACAATATTCCAATTTGAGCCACTCACGAGCCCTGCCACCTGGCCTGTGCGTATGCAGTCTGTGTGTGCTTGTTCCTGTACCCGTCAGTGCTGGCACAGTGGTTAGTACATAGGGCTACGGACCGGGTCCGAGTTCAATTCCCGCTCACGGCCAAGATCAGTGATGAATATCTGAACCCGCCATCGGCCTTACCTAGGTCGACTCAGCCTTAAATGAGTATCTCATGCGGTGAGTGAACATACGCACTGGAGAGACAAAGGCGGCCAGGCCTGGTGCTGGGCATACTACCCCCTCGTGCACCACGTTGGCCTTCATAGGTGCTCGCTAACAACACTTGGCCCAATAGTGTGTTGGGGCTGTACGGTAGAGCATTGCCTTTGTGTCCATGTGTAGGCTGCACGTAGGGTGTACGTATAGGTGTGTGTGGTTTTTCCAGTTGCGTTCTTCATGGATGGCAGAAGCCCCGCTCAGCTCAGCGGTCACTGGAATAACGTGCTGAAGCCTGGGCTCCGCCACGGGGCCTGGAGCTCGCTTGAGGACGATGTGAGTGGTTGACCTATGGTGCGGTTAACCCACGGTCGTGTGGATGACTCTTTGTGGTGTGTGTTGAACCCCTTTCAGGTGTGGTTGACCCTGCGGTGTGGTTGACCCTGTGGTGTCGTTGATTCTGTGATGTGGTTAATTATTGTGTGGTTGACCCACGGAGTCTTTGACCCTGTAGTGTGGTTTTTGCTAGCAGTGTGGTTGACCCTGTGGTGTGATTGACCCTGTGGTGTGGTTAGCCCTGTATATGCTTGACCCTGTGGCGTGGTTATCCCTGTCGTATGGTTTCTTCTGTGATGTGGTTAATTATTGTGCTGTTGACCCATGGGGTGTTTGACCCTTTAGTGTGGTTTTGCTTGCGGTCAGGTTAACCCTGCAGTGTAGTTGATTACAGTTTGGTTTACTCTGTGGTGTGGTTGACCCTGTGCTGTTGGTGACAGCTGCTGCTGCGTGCCGTCGAGCGTTTTGGCGAGCGTTGGTTTCTCGTTGCCAAAGAAGTTCCTGGACGCACGGATTTGCAATGCAGAGAGAGGTGATGACAATTCACCACCATCACCACCAGCAGCCGTAGCTACGTTATTTACAGAATCATCTCATAATTGTCCACCTCGTTTTTAAGTTCATCACAATACTGATTACGCTGTGAACGACGCTGTTGCTGATGATGTTGATGGTAATGTTAACGGTGCTGCTGATTGAAACAATTGCGTTCCAAATTGATTATGTTGTTCGTGATGAAGTTGCTGCTGTTGCTGGAAATGAAAGTGGTATTGGTGATACTGCTGCTGTTGCAGTTTTTGATGATGATGATGGTGACGATGACATTGTGGTGGTGATGATGTTAGATACGTAAACTGCCTCGCCGACGGTCTTGCCAAGGGCATGTGGAGCAACGTTGAAGATAAGAACCTGCAGAGCCTGGTCAACTATTATGGACCCGGTGAGGGCTTGCCATGGTTACGCGTGGTGAAGTGCTGCGAGGATGTTGGGGTTGTCTTGTTGTTTTTATCTTTACTGTGGTGTATTTGTTTTTATTTCTGTCTTTTACTTATTCTGGTTCATGTTATCCGTGTTGTTTGCTTGCTTTGTTGTGTTTTTGTTTATCGTGTCCTCTTTGTGCATCGCGATGTATTTATGTTTAGTGGACTTTTTATGTTTCCTGTGCTGTGTGTGTATTTGCTGTGTTATTTACATTTGCTGTATTTTGTTTATGATTGTGTTGTGTTTATGATTATCGTGTTGCATTTATGTTCACCCTGTGACATTTGTTTTGTGTTTTCTAAGTATTTATGTGCTTATGGTTTTGTCATGTTTATGCGTTTATTATAATTATCGTGCCATTTCTTTATATACCCCCAAATTTGCTTTCAGCACCACAGGACAACTCTGTGTTCATTCAGAACTGCCACAGGGTAGCAGCGTATCACCTGCTACAGATTAAGGAACAGTTGTTTTCAAGTTTAATTTGTTTAACCAGGTGATAACTCAAGAGACCTGATTGAGTCTCGTTTGCAAGAGTAACCTGGGTCACCACGATGACAAAAAGCAACAAACTAAATAAAGTACAGCAACGAAGCAATTGGAGATCAGAACGTAGAGAAAAAACAACCGTCTCACATGAGAAGTCAAAAAAACACTGCACAAACACAAGTCAAAGTTAAATAATAAACTCTCTGCAACTCAAGTCGGCTCGGGCAGATTATCCCTAAACTAATCATAGTACAATTACACATTAAGTTGCGGAAACATCAAAACTTTACTCGATAACATGGCATTTGGAAAAGTGCTGCCCTCCCTTACCCTTCCTAGTGTGGATGCAAGGTCACTTGAAGGAATTTCAGAAGTAGTTTTGTGAGATGTTCTTCAATGAGCCAGTCTCTCACGATGGGGATTGCGCTATTCTTCCAGATAAATCCTCTCTCTTGTGACATTACACCGATTGTACATTTAGAGGTAAAAGACAGTACAATGAAAATATCCAGGATCTCAGTGGTGCCAGTCTAGAAACTTTGACCCCTGAGACCCCTTGGCAAATCTTATCGTGATGTTATGTTTGTTGTGTGTTAAGATATTTGTTATTATGTGCCCTGCTGCCCAATTAGCTCAGCAGTAGAGTCAGTGGCTAGAAATCCTTCGGTTTTAATAAAACATTCTAAATTGGGGTTGACTGGGCCCATCTTTCCTCGAGCGTCGATAAAACCTGTACCGCCTAGCGTGGAATTAAACAGCGATTGCCCTTTGGAAATACTCGTCCCTGCCATAGGAATGTGGACGATCTGCCATTGGCTCAGGGCTGTAAACAGGAGATGAGCGCCTCCTTGACGCTCATTTGAGCAGGAAATCACTTTGATGATGATCACGAGCACTAAACTTGCATTGTGCCCTGTTTAAGTATTTGTTATATTTTTTTAATACCGGGCGAGTTTTATGTCATGTGTGTGTGTTTGTTGTGCGCGCGTCTTTAGGTCAGTGGTCTGTCGTCGCAAAGGCCTTAGGAACACGCAGCAACAGTCAGTGCTCCAAGAGGTGGAAGAGACTCAACGAGAAACAAGTGCGGTCGCAAGCTACACATACAAATATACACGTATATAGCCTTTAACAGACTTGGGGCAAGTGCTGCAAGCGAGCACCTAATGAAGGCTGGTAAGGCACAAGAAGGGGTGGGCGGCCAGCACCACGGCCAGCCGCCATTGTCACCTTATTGACGATGTTTACACGCTGCACCAGGTACTCATTTGAGGCAGAGTTGACCTAGGGGAGGCCCAGAACTAGTTCAGACAGTTGTCACTGGTGTTGGCCGTGAGCGGGAATCGAGTTCGGGCCACCAGCTTTATGGCGCAGCTCTTTTTCAGAAGCGACCTTGCCACAAATGATAGCTCAACGAAGTGGCTTATCATGTGGAGATGTATAGCAGTCAAATACTCTAAAACGCATGTTTATAAATGTGGAGGGAATATCCGGATGACCTGGAAAAAAATCCACGTGACCACAGGGATAAAACGCAAACTCTAAATATACAGATGTCAGGGTCGGAATCGATCCCATGTCCTGTATACCAAGCGAGGTAGTTAACATCTTGTTCTTGCCTTTCATGAGCTTTGTTATCTCGTTGAAGTGTTATCTTGCATCACACCGCACGTACACAAACACAAATATACTTACGTAACACAAAAAATAATAATACGCGTTTGTTGTGGAAAATCCAGATAAGGGGACGATGTCTCCTTCATACATTTGTATCTCCACTAACAAATACTTAAATATTAAAAATTAGAGATATGTATGTAGCTGTGTCTCTGTTCATCAGCCCACTTGTGCCGCCATTCCATATCCACCTCATTGCCCAAGCACATCGGAGAGTTTTATAGATCTGTGTGATCCACCAATCCTAGCCATCAAAACTCCCTGTCTCCTTGCGTGTGTCAGTCTCCCAGAGTAGATTCATTGTCGAGGAAGCGCAAGAATTCCACTTCGCCGACTCTGGACGGGGAGGGGATACCTGCAGTCAAAATACGCCGAGCAGGAAGGCGGAAAACACGGTGGAAGAGGCATCGAAGCGTCTACACAATCTCCACTCCGCCACCATCTCCACCACCGTCTTCGCTGTCATCTTCGCCATCGCCGCCGCCACCGTTATCGTCATCATCATCTGTTGAAATGCGGTCCGACAGCGACGGTGATGCTCATGAGGCTGACGACGTGGTGGATGCTTCGAACAAACGAAAAATTACATCGCAACACCACGAGGTACACGTATCCGCGGTTACGTATGTTGTGTTCATAACGTTAGTGGTGGTCGTGGTAATGCAACAAGTTGTCCTTTGTTCAGGAGTGTCCTTTAGGAGTGTCCTAGACTGGGATGTTCCACTAATTTCGTATTTATTGAGTGTTTTGTTTTGCGTTGCATGAGACCAGAGTACCTGGAGAACACCTATGCTTACATACAAGGAGGTAACACTCCCAAATGTTGTGAAACTCCTTTACCGTCGTTGTCGAGAAGGTGCCATACCCTGGCCCGCCAGGAGAAGGCGGTACAATGTGGACTCCACCTGTTCCGTCTGCATGGCATCGTGTTTCCCCCTAAAACACATTGTTTTACTTCAGGTGCTCCGGTTTCCTTCCACATGCGAGTTAATTAATTGGCCGATTACACCTTAATATATAGAGAACCGCAGAGCTTGGGCAATTTTTGGCATAGGCTCATCACGTGGCTGCCTTCCTGCTTGCCTGTGTATCCTCATGCGATGAGGAACCACAGCCCACCATTCCTCCTGGGTCGATAAAATAGTACCAATCTGCTCTTAAAATTTCTTGTGAAAAAGGCCCATTACCTGAAACGTCATCTATTTTATTTTATGGTAGTGCTATTGATGAATGAGTTTATTTACTGTGGGTAAGTCAACAGTTGTCCTACAGATAGACTCGCCCCCCCACCATAGGGACGTGGAATTTCCACCACTGGCTCAGGGCTGTAAACCGGTTGATGAATGCCACCTCCATGCTCACTTGAGCAAGAAATCACTTTGGACTGTTGTGTTAAAAAAAGTGAATTCTGTTTGTTCAGGATAAACGCGCAAAGCTGCTGCCGGGCGGAGCGGCGGGGAGTTCAACCAGGAAAACGACGCTCTGCGTCCCGAGCATCGATCTGTGGCTGCATCCCAACCCTTGGGTGATGCCAACCACCTCTGACCCTGCCGGTGAGGTCAAAGGCTAAATAACAACTGCTAGTTATCTACCCAGGAAAGCTTTGCCGAGGTCTCGATACTCTTTATCCTGGGATGTTTGGCCAGTTCCGTAAAGTAGTGTTTGGCTTGTATACATGGGGTTACACTCGCCTTGCCTCCTGGCCACTGAACAGCCCTATTCCTACAATACCTGGCAAGCGTTTGGTGTCACTCGTCCACATTTTATCCAGGTTCCCACCTGCTTCAATGTGATGTGAAATGTGGTCATAAGATAAAGTAATGTGTTCATATCTTAATGAAAATTTAACTTAAAAAACAATACTTTGTTTAGTTCTCTTTATTTTAATATTTAAACTTGATGTTTAATCAATTGAGTGGTGTTTGCATTTACTTTTTAAACGTTTGTGTAACTTGAAATGTAATATTATTGGGTCTTACGGTAAAGTCACGTAGATAGGTTCAAAGAAAATAAGAAAAAACTAAAAAAACTACGTCTTGTGTTGCGATCAAAACGTCGTAGTTTTTTTTGTTATTTTTTGTTATTTTCTTTGAACCTATCTACGTGATTTTACCGAAAGACCCAAGAATTAGAAATTCCTGCAGTCACGAAAGCTTTAAGTCAAGATTGAAATGTAATGTGTACTTGTTAAATGTGAATATTATGCTTGTGTTTTAAATTATTGCAACGTGCCCTGCTTAGTGTGAAGGGTGTGGCTGCTTAATAATTAAGTGATTGTTCTCTGTTTGATCAGCGTTTCAAGAGAACGATGAAGGGACTCAACTGAGAGAGGTGAGAATAACTCATGCCCGCTACTCACCCACTTACCCTGCCCAAATACCTACTTAAACTCTAAACAATTCTGTCACTTATTCATTTACTCACTCAGTCGTGTAATAATTATTTCACTCGTTCACCGGCTCGCCTAAACAACGTAACTATTTCTCAGTTGTATAATTCAATTACTCATTAACTCACTCGTATACTAACTAGATTCGAAGCTTTCATGCGACTGCAGGAATTATTTGATTTATTTTCTATCTACTTGACTTCACCGAAAGAACCAAAGAGTCACTCGTATACTCTCTCTCACACACTCATTTGCTGGCTGATATTTGTTTTATTTGAACTCTTGACCTTTTGTCCTGGCAGGTTTCTGAGCCTCTTGGTCCCGGTCGGGTTTGGGGTTCACGGGGTCCTAGGGGTCGGGGGTACAGCCTTGATCACAAGATCTCTTTGGAGATGAAGAAATGGAGTCACTTGGCAGCAACCGTTTCACACACACAGCCTGAATCGCAGACAACAGTTGAATCGCAGGATACAGCTGCCAAACTAACAACCATTGAAGAAATGGCAAGTGTTGAAGAGACAGCAGCTGCTCCGGAAGCAACCGCTGCTAAAGGCAAGACAGCTACGGTTGTGTGTAAATCTCACAAGCTAGCAACATCGTCAAGGAGCCTTGGTGAGAAGTTTAAATTGCTCATTAATCATCATTGCCACCACTACCACCACTATTACTACCACTACAATTACCATCATCACCACCACCATCACCACAATGACAACCATTTCAATCACCACAATTTCCTTTTTCACCACCACCACCACCATCATTGTGTCTTGTCTCCACAGCTGATGTGCTGGGAGAAAAGATGGGCCATCTCAACCTGAAGACAAAGTCCATCTTTGAGCTGCTGCTCCAGGTATTCATGGCTAAGTGAACTTAGAAGTAAGACAACCCATTGGTAATAATGGCCTGTTCTTACAGAAGTACAAAGGCGTGGCAGTTGTGTTAAAAGCATTGTTTGGAGATCATTACTTTGTGAGGCCAGTTTTCACTTAATTTGGATGGGGTTCAATGAGGTCACGATTTCAAATCTGGGTTGAGGACCAATTCTCATCATTAACAGAACCATAGATAGCAGCATCTCATTCTGGACATTAGCTGCAGAGTGATCACCAGTAGCATCATGATCAGTACAAGCATCATTATCATCGAGAACATCGTCGTCAAATATCACAGCCAGGCAGCACCCACTGCCACCACAAATCGGTTTCTTCCTCTGGGTGGGGTCCAGCCGTGCAGATCAGCGCTTCTCAGCATTTCTCTGTATGGCTCTGCCCCCCTTGAGAACCCATATAAGAGTGTTTTTCCACTGGCCGTAATGATCGCACACCACCAGCAGTGCTCATTCGAGCAGAGATTTTGACTTTTGTGTTTTTTCGTTTGTTTTCTCAATATCGTGTCAGGTTTTTGCAATAGACCGTGTCGGGTGCCTTCGGATGATTAATGAAAAACAATTGGGGCTCCAAATGACAAAGCTGCCATGCCTGGTAAGATTTTTAAAGAGCCATTTACTTCAATAACAGTGTTAGTTGTGTTCATCTTGTCTAGACACATTTCTAATTTTTTTTATTTCTCACAGAGAACTGCAAAAGCTACCTTGACACAAGGTAAGCCTTTTACAAATATATATTTTAATGGACTCAACTATTTAGCAATCTGGGTTTCAGAACTGCAGTCTTAATTGAGACTCCATGCTATGAGACCGAGTCTCAAGACCAGAGTCTTAATTGAGACTCCCGATCAGGAGACTGGGGTTTTTGGATTAGAGTCTTGAATGATCAATTATATAGGTTTTATGGGTTAGATCGCATAAATTAAAATGTGTCGTCAAACTCACCACCTCCCGACACAGCCAATTAGTTAGGTTTGTCACGTAAACAAACTATACCAATTAGTTACTAGTTCAGCACACCAGTGTGTTGGGGAGTAAACCCACAACATTTACAATTCGAGTATGACGTTTCGCCGGGAATTACAACCAGCCTCATCAGGCACATTTATATTTACACGATCTAGCCCAAAACTCTCATGGATTATATTGGTCGCAGAAGTCTTGAATGAGGGGAGACTGGGTCTCAAGATCGCAGTCTTGATTGGGACTTGGCACCACGAGGAGGCCAGATCTTGTCTCAACTGATATGTTTACGTTTGTCTGTGCGTCTCTTTGCAGCCGGTGTGCGATGCTTCCCACAAAGGCAGTCGGTGAGGGATCTTCTTGCCCGGGCCACCTCCATCTCCCAACAGCCACTGCCTCTGATTCTGACCCCTATAGCCCCTACATCGCTCAGGATTGGACAAGGAGGGTCACCAAAACCTATTTCTCTAGGCGCTGGGAATTCATCAAATCATCCCTTCACCTTTTTTCTACCCAGGCCGCTGGTTCCTTCGCGAGTTAGCGATGGCACACCCCTAAGCTCCGTAGTTAGCGGTGGGTCAACGGTGGTTAAGCCGACTTCAAGTGCTAGATCACCAGTTAAACCAGGAACAATGGTCTTCTCGTTGGTTGGTGGGATACCGGTAATTTCTTCTCTAGGTAATGCGTCTAATGTTCCGGCAGAATCAGTGGTTAAGCCGCTAGTTGCCGCAAGATCTCCTATACCGCACGCAAGTGGCATCACGCCAGTTCCCCCGGGGTCGGTAGTTATGAGACCAGCCATTACATCAGGACAGCCAGTTTGTTCAGGCCCATCAGTTACTGCGGTATTTACTACGATAGTTACCACGCCACCGGTTGGTACCCGACCGCTAGTTTATTCACCAGCTACTGCAGGATCAGCAGTCACACGGGTAGTCAATACCAGGGCACTGGTTACTTCATTACTCAATGCAGAATTGTTAGTTGCACCACCACTAACTACAAGACTAGCAGTTAAACCACTGGTTACTACCGGACCAATAGTTACACCTATTTCAACCCCCAATGCTGCCAATACAACCCTGATATCCAGAACTACTCCTGCAACCACAACCCTCGCGTCTGGAACCACTCCTGCCTGCAAAATCCTCATATCCGGAACTACGGCAATCACATCCCTCACATCCAGATCCTCCTCATCCAGTACAGCCCGCATGTTCGGAATCCCCTCCCCAGCCAGCATGACCCTCATATCCGGAACCCGCGCTACCAGTGCAATCCTCGTATCTGGAAGCACTTCCACAACCAGTACGACCCTCGCATCCAGAACCCCCTCTTCCGCCAGTGCTCTGAAGGAGGCATGGTTGCTTTTTGGAGGGAGGGACGAGCGGTCTGAGACACCTGGTTCCGTGTGGAGTTGGGGTAGGGTCCCCCCCCTTGATGATGATGATGACGACGAGGATGAGGAAGATGGTGATGATAAACGCAGCATAGAAACCTGGATGGCCCGGCTAAACATGCGCGGCTCATCGTCTGACCCTTCACTAACCGCTTCAGTCGCTTGCACAGAAAGTTTCCCGCTTGCTACTTCGGTGGCTTCTCCAGTCGCTGCCTCGATGGCTTCTACAGCGGCTCCTTCTTTCGCCAGCACCTTGCTGGCTTCTGTGGTTAATTCTTCACCGAGTTCATCTCTACCTTGTGCGGTCATTTCTTCAATCAGCCGTTCACTGGTTTCCCCGGCTCTCGCTTCGGCGTCTTCATTGCTCCCCTCGGTCACTTCCTCGTTGCCATTGGTGGTCACTTCTTTGCCATCTTCCGTCAGTTCTCCACCACCTTCGTTCACTTCGATGGCTGCTTCTTCGCTGCCCTCTCCATCCTACCCACTGCCTTCAGTCACATCTTCACTCGTGTCTTCAATCACTTCATCGCTGTCATCATCACTCCCTCCACTTTCGTTTCCTCCTGCTCCTCCATTTTCTGCACCTCTTCCGCCTCTTTCTTCCACTCCTCCGTGTTCTTACCTGCCACCTTGTGTCGCCACTCTCCGTGCCCTCAAAACTCTCCTCCAACGCCGACAAACTCTGCTCCTCCAGCAGCAGAAGCAGCAACAGCAGCCACAAGCACAACATCAACCTCCTCTAGGAGAACTGAGCAACGTTAATGGCAACACCACCACAACCGCCATCATAAGCAGCGGCAACAATGTTGACAATAACCGTGTGAATGTTTCGTCACCGTCGCCGATGGCGCCACTTATCAAGGAAAAGTCACCCACTGTAGGAATTGAGGGTGGTGTCAGTGCTGGGAATTCGTTGCCATTTTCTCTTGGGGCTGTGGATTCTTCACAGAATTTCAGACAGACCGACCACTGTCTCGACCGCCACCAATCTCAGGGCCCGCTGGCCCCCAGAGACCGGCAGTGGAGGGAGGGGGACATTTCCTACGCGTGCCTGCGTCGTCGCTTCTTGGCGACGTTCACGGTTCCGGCCATTCTGGCGACGACTCCGTTACTGTGCCAGGATTCAGAATTCTTCAGGCGTGGGACCAGGCCAAGCGATCAAGGAAGAGAGGGCAGCATTCGGGGAAGGGGCAGAGGCAGGGGAAAGGGCAGGGGTAGAGGTAGGAGGAAGGTTGTAGAGAGGAGCAGCATGGATGATGGGGGTAGCAATTTTGATGTAAGAGGTGTTGATGATGCTGAGGTGAATGGAGATGGTGGTCGCCATGGTGCTGCTGGTCATAGTCCTGATTGTGGTCAGGGTCGTGATGGTGTTCATGTTATGGGTGGTGATATTTGTTGTGGAGAGGATGAAGCTAGTGATGGGGGTAGTAGTGGTAAGCATAAAGGTGAAAGTGTTGTTAAAATTGACCAAAGTGTAGAAGCAGTGGGAAACGTTGGAATTAGAGGCAGGGGTAGGCCAAGGACGAGGGGCAGGGGTAGAGTAAGGGTCAGGGGTGGAAAAAGGGGCAGGCAGGGGAGTAGAGACGGAGTAGGCAGTGAAGTTCAACTAGAAAACGTAAATATTTAATGCCGATCAATTGAAATGAAATTATTTGGAGAAGTGCTGGTTCAGTGTCTGACAAAGCCATTGAGTCCTCCTTAGAGACAGGGCTCCAACCCAAGCACCCCAATGATGCCGATGAATTGTCTTAGATACAGCCATTCTAGACTTTGTACAGAGAAAAGTAACAGAAACATAGCCAGGTTTAGGCACACAGGTCCTGAGTTCAAGCCCTGGATTTCGTCTCTCAGTGAATTTATAATGGCCATGTCAGCGACACCGCGCCAGCACTGCTCGATATGAGTCTCGGCAACATGTAATGAATCCATGTGTTGCGAGTTTGATGATGGCACAAAATAAAATAGATCATTCATGTGGTTTCCGATTTAATGAGAATCTTGACAATCCCAGCTGCAAGCACTCATGAGGCCAACACGGTGCATAGACAAAACCCACTTGGATAGTGAATATGAAATGTTAATTTAACCGGCAAAGCCCAAGTGCGAGGACTTTTTTAGCTGGTCGTACGTACAATGTGACGAATTCCATGTTTGAGTACATTCTTTCCTATGTGTGGAAGAAAACCAGAGTTCCCAGAGAACCCAGCAAGCATTTGAGATGATAACACTTAGAGGTATGCACAGATAATTTCACAGGCCCACCTTGTTGTTCCAGCCACTTTGGATCGCATCCAGTTTTGAGGCTCACTACTTATGGTCTTGGTGTGCTGCACCAACCCCTTGTGGGCATTGTTTGACCTTTCGAAGAGCACAGGGCTATTGAGGTGTGGGGCTGTCATGCGTTGGTGAATGGGTGCTTTTTGTGTGCCTTTTTGAATATCCCATTAAGAAGGAAAAAAATCCACAACATTGAAAATAAAGTTATATTTTTTTATTCAAGCGAATGTGTTGTAGTCCTGTATAGGATAAGACAAGTTTTCTCACGGATAAGATGAGCGGTCACCATATTGGATGAAGGTTTTCTGTGTTGAATGAGATGGACGGATTTGTAACGGGTGCAAATGAGAGTTCTATATTAGATTAAATTATGCTTCTGTATCAAACATGATTGATGGGTCTATGGGACAAGATGGGGGTTCTGTATAGGATGACGGGGTTTTTTTTATCAGAAGAGAAATCCAGATCTTTGGCATATTTCATGTAATTGCTATTAATGAGCATTACAGATTAATATTCATATTGAAAATACTTATAAATTTGCAAAACTTTAGATTTTCTCTTTGAGCTTTCAGCTATACAATATATACTTTCTAAAAAGTTGTGTTAATATTTAACACTTAATACAATCTCTTAAAACAATTTCTTAAAATATAAGGTGATTGTTATTGCCTATTTTAGGCCGAAGTGGACAAACACTTCCTCGCTTGGCCGAGAAACGGTTGCCCTTAGCCAGCAGTAGACATTTCACATTCCTATGGTGGGAGTCAATCTCCCCTTTGGACAACCACTGATGACTTCCTAATTGTGAATCAAGCGTTATGAGCACGACTAAATAATAACCATAAATAGATGACGATATTCATGACATAAATGCTGCATTGTATAAAATGTATATTTAACATATAATCTCTTGACCTAAAGCTTTCGTGACTGCAGGAATTCATATTCTTTGGGTATTTCGGTAAAGCCACGTAGATAGAAAAAATTATACAAATAAAAACAATATCACGACGTTTCGATCGCAACACAAGCAATCGTCATCAGGTGAAAAATATAGCGGGAGAGCTGCTGAGAATATTAGGTGGGAGCCCTGCTAAGGTCAGGAGTTATAAAGGTTTGAGATGGATGTAGCCCGAGGGTCAGTGGGAGGGGCTAGAGATGAAATTTGCATGTAAATGGAAGATCGGAGAAATCTAGACAAACGACGCTGTGGGGGTGGCCATTATATTGAGAGATTAGCATGTCAATGTAAGATTAGCATGTCAATGTAAGAAATTTGCTTGTAAATGTAAGCTCGGAGAGAGCTCGGCAAGAGCATCGCCACATGGAGGTGGAAGAGGATGGCAAGCCGCCATTTACTAATACAGCTAACGGTGGCTGTGTTAGTGAATGTAAATGGCGGCTTGCCATCCTTTTTCACCTCCATGTAGCGATAGCTCTTGCCAAGCTCTCTCCGAGCTTACATTGACAAGCAAATTTCTTACATTGGCATGCTAATCCCTCATAATACAATGGCCACCCCATAGCTTCGTTTGTCTAGATTTCTCCTATCTTACATTGACATGCAAATTTCATCTCTAGCCCCGCTCACTAACCCTTGGGCTACGCCCATCTCAAACCTTTATAACTCCCGGCCTTAGCAGGGCTCCCACCATAATATTCTCAGCAGCTCTCCCGCTATATTTTTCACCTGATGATTGCTTGTTGTGATCGAAACGTCGTGATATTATTTGTATTTCTTCTATCTACGTGGCTTTTCCGAAAGACCCAAATAATATATAATCTCTTATAATAACTCGGTGGAAGCCTGTCCTCAAAATGGAGTGATTCTTCCCCATTAGATCTACCCTGTCCCCTCCCAGCCCTGATCCTTTTGTGTTTCCCGCACCCCATTGGCCCAACCCCAGTGCTAGTCTGGCCCCCTCTACTGCTGATGCTACTACTCACCAAATAACAACTCACTTGAGCCTCGTTAAACACCACACGACTAAACGCTCTCAACTCACAATAGTTCCCACTCAACACTCACCTAAGACGGCTAGCAGTCCATGATACTGGACACTCGCCACACGTACACTCGCCGAACACATTCACTCCTCACCTACAACTGACGAATATAATGTTGCAATTAGTGGGAAGCTATGTTTTTTTACCGAGGTCAAAAAGGTTGCATATATTAGAAATGCAATCCAATAAGTCTCTGAATCCTAACAGAATAAGTCCTCACTTCACCCCGAACAATGAAGACTGCTCCTGTAAAGGCTGTTACAAGCAAAGTTGTGTACTTGGATAACAATTGACAAGTAATTATGTACATAGCAACGTATAATCTCTTTAATAGCAATGTCTGCCCTAGTGTTGCTCTGGTCTAAATGCTTGACTCACAATCGGAAGGTCACAAAATATAATTCTGGTCAGAGATCTCAACCCATTGTGTCACCACCACCGCCAGTAGTAGCAGAATCATCATCGGTATCATCTTCAGTTGCAGCATCCTTTCATCATTTTCAAAATGACCACAACCACTACTAGCAACATCCTCAATGAGTAAAACGATTCCACTTCCATTCACGATTTAAACTCGGAGCCCTTTCCAACTGGCAGCTGTGCCACCCAGGCTCTCCTCCATCTCTCCATCTCGCCATTACCTCCCCCCCACCCCGCACTACAAAATAGCGCACAGTTTTGACCGCTGGGCTACGGCCACCCGGTCACGGGTGTCACGGTAAAGCCGTCGTCCCCCGGCCCTCGCTGCTGCCAGCGCGATCCCTGCCGCCATCGCCACCCCGCCGGCCACGCCACTGCTTGCCGCCCCGTCGACGCCAATGCCGTTGGGCAAGGTCCGGCGGCTTTCCTCGGCGAGGACGGGGAACACCGGGCCCTCGGGGCGACGGCGGCGCTGCACGCGGTGCAGCACGATACGGTACGTCCCCGTCACGCAGCTGCGGGCGTCGCCATCATCGCCGTTATTCCTCACGACGTCGCTCGTTATCCCCAGCTCTTCGAGCAGCTCACGCACCTCGAGCAGCTCCTCGGCGAGTAGAGAACAGGAGGGCCGCAGAGAGGAGGATGAGGGAGAAGGCACGGTTTTTGCGGAGCCTGCCGTGACCCCCAGTCTTGTTTCTGTAGCCACTGTGTCGTCAGTGATAGGCGTTGGTGCCACCACTCCTGAGTCTGTCACGGCCGCCTCTTTGGTAGTCATTTGTGCCGCTCCTCTCGTGTCTGTCGCGATGACTGCAGCTCTCACAGTGTCTATTGTGGCTGGACCTTCAGCGGCCATTACTCCTCTCTGTCTTGTATCTCCAGGCATTACTAACGTCCTCCTAACTTCTGTTTTGGCCGCCCTTTCACCAGTCATTACTGCTGCCCCCCTTGCATTGTCAACCATTGTTGCCGCCACCCTAGAGTCGTCCGCCATTACTTCCACGGCTTGATTATCTTCTGCCACCCTCTCAGCATCCACTGGGGCCACCTCTTCAGTAGCCATTGCTGCCGCCCCCCTTATGCATTCCGGGTCCTCCTGTAAGAGGTATCTGGGCCCCAGTGGGTAAGGCGGGTAGGGCTCGGGGGCGTGGATGCCCCGAAGCCATTCACTGCGCAGGATCTGGGCAGCCGTGGGCCTCTCATCCGGCAAGGGCCTCAAGATGGTGGTGATGAGGTTGCAGCAGGAGGCAGGCACCCGCAGGGGCACGGAGAAGCAGCCGTCGAGGATACTGAGCTTAAGTTTCCCGACCGTGTCGGCGCGGAACGGGAGAGTCCCGGACGCGATGAAGAAGAGGAGGACGCCCAATGCCCACACGTCCACCTGGGGGCCGAGGTAACTTTGGTCTACAGAGCATGGGAGAGCGAAGCAATTAGTGGAGCACGCGCCTTTTGTACGAATGTGTGTGTACACAGCGGTAAAACAGTTTGATTCTCAAACACGGCTAACAGTGGTGATTATCTGAAGCAGTCCTAGGTCGACTCAGCCTTAAATGAGTACAAGCAAGCCTCGACTTACGAACATAGTTTGTTCCTGACACCTGTTCATAAGTCGAATGGTTTGTAAGTCAGAACACAATGCCCATACGGTCAGGATAATTAAATGTGTTTAAGGTTGATCAAAAAAGGGAAGCATGTAATAAATACTGTTTTGTACATAAAACATTTTCACTTACCTTGAGTCCTGATGCTGACTTGCTTGCTGGAAGGGGAGCAACCACAATTGCACACACACACACTCAGGTACTCACACCAACGAAAACAATCCCCCGTATAGCCTTAACAGACTGTTAGGGCAAGTGCTGTTAGCGAATAGCACCAATGAAGGCCGGCACGGCACACGAGGGAGTGGGTGGCCAGCACCACGCCTGACTGCCTTTGTCTCCCCAGTGGCGATGCTTTTACACACCGCACCAGGTACTCATTTGAGAACCGAGTCCATCTAGAGGAGGCCCAGGACCCATTCAGATAATAGCCACTGGTGTTGGTGGCCGTGAGCGGGAATCGAACTCGAGTCGTTGGGTTCATAGCGCAGCGTAGCGCTAACCGCCACACTGCCACTCCCCACTCCGACACACACATACCCAGAGTCACACAGGGTGCTGGACAGACTCTTCACAAACCTCGGAAGAGCTCGGGGGCGGCGTACGGAGGGGACCCGCAGAAGGTGCTGAGCCTCTCATTGGGGGTGACCGTGGTGCTGAAGCCAAAGTCTCCCACCTTGACCCAACAGTTGCCAGCGTAGAACACGTTTTCAGCCTTCAGGTCCCTGTGCACCACCCCACACTCGTGCTGCACAAACACACACACACAGGGCAGGGGGGGGGGGGGGCAAGGGTTGTTAGCAAGCGCCTATTCAAGCCGGCTGGCTGTACTATGTGTGTGTATATAGAAGAAATTATTTTGTTACAAGGTGAAACAAAGAATGTCTGGAAAGCACCCACACATGTGGGTGTAGATCCCAGTCAGCGTGATAGACCGACAATCCATCATACAAGAGAAAAATGTGTTTCCAAGCAATTCCAGTGATGTCACATAATGCGCTCATATGCCTTCCTCTCTCAAAAAATTAGTTTCGGAGGTCATTTCAGCCCCGCATTTTACCTGGCCTAGCTCGCAATATACTCACTCACGGATAGACATGGACGAAACCAGTTTATCTGGATGTGAGCAAGAGCATTTTCATGGCCAAAGCTGCTCGATTACGTTATTGAATGATCAGGTTAATGGGTGGGTGGGTGGTTAATTGACGGACTACCTCCATGGGGAAATGGACAACCCTATGGGTTTAGCATGGATTCTAGATTGGAGGCATCTCGTGATTGGGCGGTGCTAGACCCAGCCAGTATGAAAAGGCAGCCAAACCTAGTGGTTATGTTCACATATCGTACCAGGCACTCATTTGAGGCTGAGTCGACCAAGGGGGAGACCCAGGCCGGTCTCAGATAATCACCAGCGGTGTTGGCCGTGAGCGAGAATCGGAACTCGGATCGCCTGGTTCGAAGCGCAGCGCGCTCACCACAACACTGCCGCTCCCCGCCACTATCACCATCACCCCCTCCCTCCTCACCATGTGCTTGACGGCGGCCGTGATTTGGGCAAAGACGAGCTTGGCCTCGTCGTGCGGCAGCGCCCCCACGGTGGAGACGCGCGTGAAGAGCTCCCCGCCCGGCGCGTACTCCATGACGAGGTGCAGGCGCGACGGGGTGTCCACCACCTCGTAGAGGCGCACCACGTTGGGGTGGCGCAGCAGCTCCATGGCCAATATCTCGCACGACAGGAGGCACAGCGTGCGCTCGTCCATGCGCGACTTGTCCAGGAGCTTGATGGCGACTTTCTCTGCACGCGCGCGTGTGAGAGTGAGAGAGCGGTGGTGTAGCATTTAGCGCGTTGCGCTACCAACCCGGCAACCCTAGTTCGATTCCCTCTCACGGCCATCAACACCAGTGATGATTATCTGAACCGGTCCTGGGGCTCCTCTAGGTCGACTCAGCCTCAAATGAGTACCTGGTGCGGTGTGCAAAACATCACTATTGGGGAGAGAAAGACGGCCGGGCGTGGTGTTGGACACCCAGCCCATCGTCTGGCGTGCCGACCTTCATCAGTGCTCGCATTTGCCCCAAGTCTGCAGAGGCTATACGGCAGGGACGTGCGGTCAAATAAAATAAATATTAAGATTTTTCCACTGATCTGTGTTATGTCATTTCTGTACGATTCCAATAATTTTTATAATCAAAATCGCCAAATTTACGGAGCTCCGCTGCAAATACCGGAAGAGACGAGAGGAGAGGCAGCGACAAGCTCAGCCTCCCCTCTGATTACGCAACCCCTCAGTAACTGGATGGAGCGCGGGCAATAAGCACGTGCCTGTTACTATCTCAGTGTGTCACCAATGTAATGTTTGTAGACCGCTTCATTTCATGTCCTCGCCTTCCATACTCCAGGTAACTTATTTCACGTATGTGTATAAAGATATTTAGGCTCGCTGGTCTCGTCATGAAACTGCATGAAAAAGCACCAGGGGAGGCAGCTATCACATCTGCCTCACTGAGGGGGACGTGTCTAACACGCCCCCCTCAGTGAGGCCACGCCCCCTCCGTGAGGCCACGCCCTTTTCCGTGTGTGAATCTGGCTCTGACACGAGCCAGTGCCTCCCCAGCCATCGACCTCACCGCACGTTACTGCTATACGGGGATCTTTGTCTTTTGTGAGAGGGGGGGGGGGTTACAGGTGATGCATCTGCCAGTCATCTCAGTTAGTCAACCTGTGGCACCTCTGTCTGTGACCTTATGCCAGTGAGCCTCCGACACTTCACGCGGCCTCAAAGTACACCTAGCCTGGCACAAGCACCGTGGTGACGTCACCACCACTTAGTGGCTGTTGTTGTTGGAGAGGAAAATTAGATGGGATCGGGGATGGGAATAGAGGATTGGGGATGGGAAGAGAGGATTGGGGTCGAATGGTGGAGAGACGAGAGAGATTATGGTCGGATAGGGAGAAAGGGAGTTGGGATGGGGTGAGAGGAGAGCGGACGGTGGGTGGTGATAAATGAGAGGAGAGAGGTGCTCTGGGAACTATTTAAATTAAACTGTTTGAATTTTTATTTTATTTTACTAGGTAAGGCCCATTGATCTCTATACCTCTTTTTCATAAGCGACATGGCCACAAATAGCTCAACGAAGTGGCTCATCATGTGGAAGTTTATAACAGTGAAATACTCGAAACGCACGTTTCTAAATATAAGAAACCAGAGGAGCCAAAAAGAAATCCACGCGATCACAAGGAGACACACAAACTCCAAATATACAGGTGTTCAGGGACAGGATCGAACCCACGACCTCCTGTATACCAGGCGAGGTAGTTAACATCTCGCCACCGTGGCACCCTTAAGCAGTATGGGGAGAGGGAGGAATTCACAGTACACCTGCAAAACCGTGTCAATGTCTTCATTTGCTTTGTTTCCATTCTGTATGTAAGCCAAATAAATGGAAGCATATGGAGGAGGCATTTGCCCAGTATTTGGAAGATGTAGGCTGAAAACGTTTACACTTGCAACCCTTTTTTGTCAAGTGAGGGCCTGGCCAAACCTGGTGGTCTTGGGACATAAGTTAAGCTGATAGGTGAGTCTTACTACACCTGTAGGTCACGGGCATAATAAGAGGATTACTTACACTGAGGCAGTGCAGATAATGGAAACACGTTTCTGCCGGCAGTCTGGCTGGGATCATCAGGTCTTCTCACATTCCAAGTCCTTAACCCCAGGTTGGGGGGGCAGCAGCAACAGCCTAGCTTCGTGAAAATGCTGCATTCGCTGCTTTTGTAGCGCACAACGGAGGCAGTGGCGACCATCATGCTTGCTCCATCTATCATGTCCACCTCGTGGGCGAATGGCACAGACGTCTTTTTCCTGGCATCGGAGGGGATGTCCCATGCCGTTACCGAGCAGGGACAATGGGCCTCTACATCCTAGGGAGCCAAAGACTCCAGCAGCTGCTCGAGCGATCGCCTACCACGTGCCCTCCTACATCCTCGACATGGTCAACAACGGGGAACAAGTGGTCCAAGCTGCGTGCTCCGGTCCCATTGCCCACGCAGAATGTGCCACGAGACTGTAGCAGCCTCACCAGGCCTGGACTGGCCATAGGGCAGTCTGGGCGAATGCCCGGTGAGCCGGTCTGCGTGGGGAACTTGCAAATGTATTACCTCTGTATACGCTTCATTGCTTATGCTCTCAGTTGACATTAATTCCCATATTCGGCAGCCTCCAAAGATTCTTCCTCACCGGCTCATTTTGTTTTTTTGGACCAGCACAAATGGGCCAATGAGATCGCACGGCAAAATCACGCTAACACATCACATCGCAAACCGAACTAGTATACAGATTGTCACATAATACGTATAATAAATGCATAAATGCACATAGCCGGAATTTGGGCCCGTGTGTTTACAAATGCCTGGGCCAATTAAATTTTTGTCCCAGTCCGTCACCGAGCCTTGCCCCTTGGGCAGAAACTTGCAGGTGCCACAAACAGCGGCAGCCTCGGCATCCTCAGGGCCACGATCTCTGCCTGTCGAGCGAAGCTGGAGACAGCCGCGTCCCGCCAGCGCGCGACGACGTGCCGGCCACGTGCTCTGTGGCAGAGGCCAGGCAGCAGAGACTGAGCCTCCAAGCTGCCCTGTAACATCGACTCCACTGCGAGCAAGGGACTCGTTTACTCGTAAACCCTCGCCCTGCCGCTGCGCGTGAACATCTTGTTCGCAAACTGCCCGCGAGTTGTTTCAGACAAAAAGGCGGGTGAACAATTCACACGGACGTGCGAGATGAAGAGCACCCAATCTGAGCACTGCGTGATGAAAGCGCCGCGCATGTACACACAAGGACGAACTCATGTTGCGTGTGCACACATTCCGTGACGCTTTCCGACATGGGGGAAGTGTCTTTGATGAGCGATGATGCGACGTTCTCAATATGCACGGTGACGTGATGTCACAAGCAATGGTGTCATCGCTTGGGGATGGAGGGGGGGGGGGCGCTTCCTTTTAGCGCTTGGTTTTGTAAATTATTTGATCAACGTTTGCGGTTCCTGACAGCGCCAACCTCGGAACAGCAACACGACGTTGCGCAAAAAAGTGCCTTTCATCTTGAAAGTTACAGTATTACAAAGTAAAAAAAAAACTAAGTACAGCAATACCCCGATGTACGTTTCCCCCTTTAACATCGTTTCGCAAATACGTCGCCACTTTATTAATACCACTACCTGATTTGCGTCGCTTCAACACCACACTTATGTCGCTGACAGCAGCGTCTGTCCTTTTTTGTATCTGTCGCTTTGGCCTTCAACTCCACCTAGCCTGTAAATTGCTTTAATTCACGTCGTTTCGATATTTGTCGTCACACATTTTCGGACTGCATGCCCAACGTAAACCAGGGTATTACCGGACCTCCGTGCACGAGGATAATGATAAAAATAATCATCTTGATTTATCCAAGAAAGCCACACCTTAAGTTGGTCAGGTTAAATAATAATAAATAATATTCCATGGTTGGCCACGGTAACGGCGATGAAATTCAAACGTGAAGCGATCAAAGAACTGATGCTCTGAACACAGAGACTGTGTCTCTGAAGAGCAGGGGGGGGGGGAGGTAAGACAGAGGGGAAAAGGAGGGGGGAGCGATTTGAATAAAATCGTTGGAAGAAGATTCGGGGCAGAAGTACTGCGTGAGAAAGGTAGGGAGGTTGAGTACGACGGGTGGAGGAGGTTGAGGAGAGAGGGGTGGGATGGGAGAGACCCAGGAGAGAGAAAATGAGGTTGAGCATTCGGTAGAGGAGCAATAGTTGGTGGCGGGTGAGAAGAATGTGCCAAGCAAGTCGAGGTGGTGAATGGGATTGAGACAAATTATTCTGTCGGTGATATTTCTGCTACTGATGATGATGACGACAGTGCAGGCCCTTGCCTCGTGTGAGAAGGTGCACCCCCAGCTTGACCTGGGAGAAGTTGCCGGAGCCGATCTCTCCGCGGATGCGGTAGAAGCTGATCCTCTTCCCCAGCACCGACTCCCTCACCGCCACCTCATCCGTGCGCGCCTCCCACGTGAGCTTCTCAAACGGAGTCATGTGACCCCGCTGCCCCGTGACCCCTGCCAGACTCCACTCGTCTTTCCCCCACCCCCTGGCAACGAGACTCCTGCCACTGAAGACTAAGCTCTGTCCCCTGGTGACCAGGTGCCTCCCATAGGCATGAGGGCTCTATGGCTAGAGCCCAGACAGAAGGCTAAGCACAGCAGCAGCAAATCCCCTTGCCCCCTGGAGATAAGGCTCTGCTTAGTAACTAGACTTCAGGCCATTGCTTCCTGCATGGATTCCTTTCACTTGTAAACTCCTGCACACACACGAAAACGCGTCATGACCATCATCAGCATTGAAAAAACACTATCGTCATTATCACCAGCAGCTACAGCATTATTAACATCACCTGCATATCATTATCATCAGCAGCAACTGCATCATCATTAGCAGCAGCTGCAACCTATTACCAGCAGTGTTATCACCACTATGATAATTTCATCACCATCAGCAAGATAATCATTGTCATCATCAGTATATTCATTATATTAAAATTCTACTTTTTTAAAAATGTCTGTGTATGAATTTGGATCTGTGTATCTGGTTCTTTGAGCTGAGGGCATTCACAATGGCCCTTTAGAATCCTGCCTCATAGTCTGGCTCTACACACCTTGGGCGTGAACAGAGTAACCATCACTCGCTTGGGCTACCACACTGGGCAATGTTGGGCACAACTGGGCTCTTTTTGAGCTTTCGCAAAATACTATTCAGAAACGTTTCACAAACTGCGAGTCCTTTTGCGAGCTCCTCTCTGGCACTTGGCCTGTATGTATATTGAACTTCTTTCGCACCGAATGGAGCCAACCGTGCTAACCGGAGGCCCAGCGGTGGACAAGGACCACCGGAAGCACGATCGCCTCTTTCCGCAGAGGTTCACGGTTTGAACCTGGTGGCCACTCTGATTAATGCTGCGGGTGTATTCACCATGAGTGGACGTAAAATCCTGTGATGTCTTTCGCAAGAGTAGGCCATTGTGTGTGCCGGCGTCATGGTCAACATTTGCCAAATTCGGAACGTCACTGCCAGGCACCGTTTCTCCGTGGAAGCCCCCGGTATCTGGAACGCCGTCATGCAGCACATTCACAGCATTCAACCCACACCATATCTGTCAACCATACCGTTTACCACGTATTCTTGTGCAGGGAAATAGAGTTTTCAGGTCCATACGGCGTACAGCCGTTTAAATACGGGCAAAAAAAAGTGTCTCTTTATTTGTGTTTCTCCCTAGTGTTAGAACTTTGTACGATGAACGTTGAGATTTATAAGGGCACGGGGTGACCAATGAGGTCTGTAAAAAGGTAGGGCACTGATTAGGGTTGCCAGGTATGCTACACCTACTTTTAAAAGCCCACCTCTTTCTTAAAGGTCCCCACTTCTTTCGCCTGACTTTCCAGTGACACCGAGTTTGGCTCCGCATCTCGGAGTCATGGTCATTTATGTCCGTGACACATTGTGCGCATTATAAGTTGCATTTTTAAACAATTGTGAAGGGGACAATTTATGACACATTTAATTGGAGAAAATAAACTCACACACATGCAGTTCATAAATTGAGATAATATTCACTATCACTAAAGCTATGATTTTGTCACAGACATCATGGTGGTCATGACAATCGTGAATTTGAAGAAAGTCTAAAGTTATATATAGGAGATGGCTGTTGACACAGATGATACTGTCCACTTGCAGAGCCGGACTAGTTAACAAACTGGCCATGGCAACCACGAGCAATCCGGCCCGAGATACAAAGACGGATAGACACTGAGATATACACCCACGGACACCGAGATACATACAGAGACACACTGAGATACACATACAGACACCGAGACACAAATATACACACAGACGAACACAAGTAAATGCAGCTAGTCATACCCCGATTTACGTCTCCCCCGTTTTCATCGTTTCGCAAATACGTCGTCACTTTATTAACACCACGACCTCATTTGCGTCGCCTCAACCCACGTTTAAATCGCTGACAGCATCGTCCGTCCGTTTCTCATATCCGTCGCCTCAGCCTTCGCCTTCACCTACCTTGTGAATTGCTTTGATTTACGTTGCTTCGATATTCGTCGTCACACTTCAGGAACACAATGACAGAGCTACATATAGAGAGAGGCACGGACATATAGTACACACAAAGACAAAGATCCCCCGTATAGCCGTCTAACAGACTGTTGAGCCAAGTGTTGTTAGCGAGTACTGATGAAACCTGGTACAGCGCAAAAGGTGGCCAGCACCACGCCCGGCCGCCTTTGTTTCCCCAGTAGAGATCATTTTTACACACCGCACCAGGCACTCATTTGAGGCTGAGTCTATCTAGGGGAGGCCCAGGACCGGTTCAGATAATGGTCACTGGTGTTGATGGACGTGAGTGGGAATTTAACTCGGGTCGCCGGGTTTGTAGCACAGCGCGCTCACCGCTACACTACCGCTCCCCACAGTACATGCACACACGGAGATGTGACCTCCTTACCCGTGACCTTTCCGTGAATGTTTGGGGTTATTTCCGCACCCTGGCAGTGATTTATACTGAACGTGACCGTGACAAAACCATGGCCTTAGCTTTTACAACTTGCACTGGACACTTGGTGGACATTGCGTCATCCGTTAAGCCACAATTTACATATTGCCATTTATGGTGATACGTTATATAAGCGTTTCTAACGGACGTTAAATAAAATCGTAAGAGCAACCTTTACAGAAAATAATTTTAAATGATGCAATTGGTAAGGAGTGATGTATGAGTCAATGAAGAACTTAGTCGTTTAATTGGCTCCTTGTAATTGGCCGTACCCAATTAAAACAGCCCCAGGAGTAGTTCACGGTGAGGATTATGAATGTCTTGGGGTGACCTCTACGTAACGTTAATCCTGGATATGTTAAAGTGGGCATGTGTGTGTGTGCATGCGTGTATCTGAATGTACGTGTACGTTGATGTGTGGAGTACAAGGTGGTGCATCTGCGAGTCTTCCCAATCAGTCAACCCGTGGCACCTGGGTCTGTACCGTGACCACCTCCTGTCAGCGAGCCTTTGACACTTCACGTGGTCTAAAAGTACACCTAGCCTGGCACAAACGCCACCGCCGCTTAGTGGTCGTTATTATTCGTGTGTGTAGTGTAGTGGTTGAAGCAGTGCGTTTCGAACCTGGCGACCTGAGTTCGATTCCTTGCCACGGTAAAAAGTAATTATCTTAACCGGTTCTGGATCTCCCTTAAACTGACTCAGCCTTCAATGAGTATTCGGTGCAGTGTGTAAATATCAGCACGAGGAAGACAAAAGCGGCCGGGCGTGGTGCCGAACATACCACCCCTTTGCGCACCGTGCTGGAAAGCCTTCGTATGTGCTCACGAACAGCACTTACCCCAACAACCTACAACAACCCCACCTTTGTCTGTGCATATCGCACCTCCGATTAGCACGGTTGGCTACGTACGGCGTGAAAAGAGTTCAACATACGTACAAATCAACTGTACGTATGTGTCTGTAGATTTTGACATTCCCTACACCTCTACAAGGGAGAAAAGATGGCATTCATGCAGAACCATCCTTGCTTGAACTCACAAACCTCTTATTGTGCCTGGCTACACGATGTTGAATTATTCTAAGCCAGCACCTTTCTCGGTACACAGAGGAGAGAGAACCTGCCATGTGGTCCAAGCAGTTGTGGTGAGGCCATGTAAGGCAACCTACACACAATCTCCAGCCTGAGCAGTTCGCTTTTGAGGTCATCCATGCTCCGATACTTTACTTGATCTCAGACTCCAGATATACTCCTTGTATCTCGTCTGCAGAGGACAACATCAGCCAGCCACTCACAGAGGGTGGCTACTTCTTCCATACTTTTAAGTCGCCACAACTTCTGCAGTTCAGTTTCCCTCTTTACCACCTTATGTTGCGTGGGGGAAGGGTTTCCCCTCCCCCAAGACCTCACAAATAAGCTCGGCTAATCCGCAGATTTGATCTTGTAGGTCGGGATATCAGCGGTCGACTCATGGGCGTGGCAGGTTTTTCGGCAGATCGACAAACCCGCCACTGGGATTTTATCTGCCAGGGTCATCCGTTGACATTAGTGAACATGGTCAGTGGGATCCGCTCCCAGACTCCACGTGTGTGTGTATGTTGACATGTGCCGTGCCGGCCTTTAATAGATGCTCGCTAACAGCACTTGCCCCAACATTCTGTTTCGGTTATACGGGGGATCTTTGTCTTTGTGTTGACTCAACACTTAAAGACCGTGTGCTGTGTGTACGTGTCCGCGTATGTTTGTGAATTCGTCTGTGTGTATCTGTGTATGTATGGTAGGTACACAGATACCGAATATACAAGCGTGTGTACGTATACCTGATGTACGTGTGGTTTGTTCGTGTGTGGTCTCGGATATTCTACCACCCTGCTCCCACATTATGCCCACCTGTTTCATGTATCCATAGAACGGCTCTGTTGAGCACCTGAACACTATCCTATCCACGGCTCTGATTGATCTCGCCCCTCTGAAGTCTCATTCTCAAACCCCCACACTTCCCTTCTGGTTCAAGCCTGCCTTCCGCAAATTGAGTCATTGGAAAGCCTCTGACACAAATCCAGTTTGGAAGTTCAACACTAGATCTGAAAGGCTTTTATCAAATATCATTAGTCAATCAGAGTTAAAGTCAAACACGATGGCATGATGCACTGGTAACCAAAAACGACTCTTTCAGCAACACATTATCGCCTATATCTCATTCACCCAGCTATCTCCATGAACCCGTCAATAATACCAAGAAAATCAGAAGCGGTGTCCTGGGTTCTGATTCTGCGTCTCCTGCTTTATGTCTGCATCCTGTCTCCCCCCACTACCTCCACTCGACATGCTCCAACATGTCAACTTCCAAAACATCACTGACATTATCTCCAACTTAAAGCAATATTCTTGCACCCTTGATCTCCCGTCCACTGAATGCTTCCCTTACTACATGGCCACCCTTCCCATCGTTCATCACAGACTTTGTCGATACATTAATCTCCTCTGGGGTTGTTCTTCCCTTGGCTCTCAAGACCTGCTGCTGTCTTTCCTGAAAAGAAAGTCCTCACCGGATCCAAACCTCTGTCTGAATTTCCCCCCGAATCTTTACCTTCCACTGCCTTGTAGAATACAGATAGGGTGTTATATTGTATTCCTTTACAAACATCTCTTCGTCCTTAACGGCCCAGCCCAATCTGATGTCTGCCAAGACCATTCTACAAAGACTGCCCTTCAGTGTATGAGATCAGTGATCTACTCTCTTCTGACCATGGAGTTCTTTCCCTTCTCAACTACTGCTTTTGACACCATCGACAACTCCTTACCTCTTGAGCACCTCCGTAGCTATGTGCGTGTCTCCAGCAGACACGCTTCTCCCCCGGTTCTGCTCTTATCTCTTAAAATTGTGCTTTCATACGTGGACTATTCGCGTCTCAGAAATCGTTGTCAAGTTGTTCCACAAGATTCCCACCATAGCTTTTCTCAATCCATCTCCTCCAACTTGGCAGAGTCATCTCCAGGTTCAACACCAACCACGATTTCTATGCTGGTGTCTCCTGCTAGGCCTTCGTTTGCATCGATTACACAAACCTAATCCCATAGGCTGCTTTCACATCCGGCCTTGGTTGTGGTCTGCAGCTAAACACTTCCAAAACTGAAGTCCTCACTGCAAGGACTTGCCAATGCCCTTACCTCTCCCAATTCAACTCATGCAACTCCACTTGTGTCAAAACCATCAGTCAACCTCCACTCAGTAGAGAATATAATGTAATTAATTTCTTTAATAAAAGTTACTTATATTCTCGTTGTGAAGAATATAAGAATGTAACTTATATGGAGAACATAAAATGCTCGTGGTTATGTTGTGTTGTATATACTATTACGTCGAACTACAATCCATATTTAAAAGAGAAAGTCATTGCTTATGAAAATAAATCAGTTTACGAGCATGAATTCAAGCAAGGCCGACTGCTGATGATACATTGTATGTTGAAACCGTCCAATAAGGTGCATGTTTTGAGCCAATGCTTCTGAAATAATGCACTCCCAGAAGACTGTGTTTCTAATGAGATGCATAAAACATAATTTTAAAAAATTGTATACGTGGAGGGACAGACATGTGAAGGAGATGTATTAATTTTCCACTTGTTTTTTTGTTTTAAAGTCAACTCAACTGGGGGTCTCTCCCTCTCTGCTGCTGCTGGCTCCAGATGAAGTCTCTGCTGGAGGATTCTGCTCACCCCCATGCTCACGTCCAGGCTCACAGGACGCCCCCCTCCACCTCTGCCATCTTAATCTCCCTCGTTCTAACCCGTCCCGGCCTCACCTCGGCGAGAATAGAAACATCTCTCAAAACGATCCCAACACCGCATTAAGTCATTTGCCCTACGCGCATTCACACTGCACAAGCGAGTTGCGTAGTGGCGAGCACACTGCGCACCGAACCCGGCAGACCCGGGTTCGAATCCCGCTCGCGGCCACCAACACCAGTGACGATTACTGGTCCTGGGCATCCCCTAGGTCGACTCAGCCTCAAAATGAGTACATCTGGTGCGGTGTGTGTAAACATCGACACTAATAATAATAATGCAATATATACCGCGTGCAAATTTGCGGACCTAACAGCCGCAACTCAGAGGCGCGAAGCCAAGCTCAGAGTCACTCAAAAGCCTGGTTGTAGAGGTGAGTTTTTAAGTGTCTCTAGAAGGAGACGATTGAGGTGCAGAGGGATTGCATTCCAGACTGTTGGGGCAGCCACCGAGAAGCGGCCCATAGACGTGACCGTCCAGGATCTTGGTATCAAGAGGAGGTCGTGAGTCGCACTGCGAAGGCATCTGCCGTGTGCTGTGCTGCAGGTCGTCAATAATGAAGAGAGGTACGGGGGGCAGGCAGATGTGAAGGCATGGTGGCAGAGGCAGTCGATCTTGTATGTGACCCTGCTGCAAATGGGTAGCTAGTGGAGGGCACGGCGACAGGCAAGTGAGTCGAGACGGGGATGAGTGCGGCCAATGGGATAAGACAGGGTAAGACAAAGACGGCCGGGCGTGGTGCTGGCCACCCACCCCCTCGTGTGCCACAATTTCGGCCTTCATAGGCGCTGCTCGCTTACAGCACTTGCCCCAACAGTCTGTTAAGGCTATACGGGCGGATCTTTGTAGGTATAGCATGTGTATATACATGTGTATGGTACAGGTATAGTATGTGTATCTATGTGCACGTTGTATGCATTGAGTATGTGTGTGTGTGCTGTATGTATACTGTGTGTATCATGTAGTGTACAGGATATACAATGTGGCATGTTGCAGGTATAGTATTATGTGTGGCAGGTCAGTCACGGGGTTTGACACTTTACCGGCAATTGGTGAGCGGATCCTCGGGAGCTGTCGCTGCTGAGCCACGGCTGTGACAGCAGCAGCTGTGGGGGCAGTAGCTGTAGCAGCAGCAGTAGTGGGGGCAGCAGCTGTAGCAGCAGCAGTAGTGGGGACAGGAGCTGTAGCAGCAGCAGCTGTGGGGACAGGAGCTGTAGCAGCAGCAGTATTGGGGTCAGGAGCTGTGGGGGCAGTAGTGGGACCAACGGCTGTAGCAGCAGTAGTGGGGTCAGGAGCTGTGGGGGCAGCAGCAGCAACAGCTGTGGGACCAACAGCTGTAGCAGCAGTAGTGGGGGCAGGGGCAGCAGCTTTAGCAGCAGTCGTGGGGGCAGCAGCTGTAGGGGCAGCAGCAGCAGCTGTGGGGGCAGCAGCTGTAGCAGCAGTAGGGGGGGCAGCAGCTGTAGCAGCAGTAGTGGGGGCAGCAGCTGTGGGGGCAGCAGCAGTGGGGGCAGCAGCTGTAGCAGCAGTAGGGGGGGCAGCAGCTGTAGCAGCAGTAGTGGGGGCAGCAGCTGTGGGGGCAGCAGCAGTGGGGGCAGCAGCTATATCAGCAGTAGGGGGGGCAGCAGCTGTAGCAGCAACAGCAGTAGTGGGGGCAGCAGCAGCTTTAATCATAACTCGGCTACAACTCACAGCAGTCGCAGCAAATCGTCGCTGTAATCATGAACGGTAGCTCTGGGCAGTACGAGAAGTCGAGGCAGAGTGACAGCGGCAGGAACGGCAACAGCAGACGAAGCACGCTGATGCAGTGCTGTCAATTAGCAGGGTCATTAAACAGCAGACGTAGCAGCAGCAGTAGCTGTAGCTGCTATGTTCACAAGGATTAAGCGGTGGCAGAATTAAGCAGTGGAAACAGTCGCTGTCACAACAGTTAAGCAGCAGTCGCAGCAGGCAAAGGTGTATCCAGGAACATCAGCAACAGCTGTAGTAACAGTCGGAGCAGCTGTGTCCAGCAACAGTCGCGGTATTAATAACGGGAGCTGCAACAGCTGTCAGTCGTATCAATCCAGAGCAACAGAAGCTGTAACAGCAGCTGTAAAAACTGTAATACGTCGCATTAACAGTGATATAAACAACTGTATATCAAAAGTAGCAACGGGAGTTATCGCAGTAGAAGCAGCAGTAGCAGGCGTCTCTATCAACAGCTGTCACTACAGCAGTAGCAGGCGTCTCTATCAGCAGCTGTCACCACATCAGTAGCAGGCGTCTCTATCAGCAGCTATCACTACAGCAGTAGCAGGCGTCTCTATCAGTAGCTGTCACCACAGCAGTAGCAGGCGTCTCTATCAACAGCTGTCACCACAGCAGTAGCAGGCGTCTCTATCAGCAGCTGTCACTACAGCAGTAGCAGGCGACTCTCTCAGCAGCTGTCACCACAGCAGTAGCAGGCGTCTCTATCAGCAGCTGTAGCTGTCACCACAGCACTAGCAGGCGACTCTCTCAGCAGCTGTCACCACAGCAGTAGCAGGCGTCTCTATCAGCAGCTGTCACCACAGCAGTAGCAGGCGACTCTATCAGCAGCTGTCACTACAGCAGTAGCAGGCGACTCTATCAGCAGCTGTCACCACAGCAGTAGCAGGCGTCTCTCTCAGCAGCTGTCACTACAGCAGTAGCAGGCGTCTCTATCAGTAGCTGTCACTACAGCAGTAGCAGGCGTCTCTATCAGTAGCTGTCACTACAGCAGTAGCAGGCGACTCTATCAGCAGCTGTCACTACAGCAGTAGCAGGCGTCTCTATCAGCAGCTGTCACTACAGCAGTAGCAGGCGTCTCTCTCAGCAGCTGTCACTACAGCAGTAGCAGGCGTCTCTATCAGCAGCTGTCACTACAGCAGTAGCAGGCGACTCTATCAGCAGCTGTCACTACAGCAGTAGCAGGCGACTCTATCAGCAGCTGTCACTGCGTCTCTCTCAGCAGCTGTAGCTGTCACTACAGCAGTAGCAGGCGTCTCTATCAGCAGCTGTCACCACAGCAGTAGCAGGCGACTCTATCGGCAGCTGTCACTACAGCAGTAGCAGGCGTCTCTCTCAGTAGCTGTCACTACAGCAGTAGCAGGCGACTCTATCAGCAGCTGTAGCTGGAACAGCGGGGAGCGGTGATCCCCCCGCCCCACGTGTCGGGGCAGTGGGGGGGGAGCAAAGGGGCGGGGCGAATCCTCGTCACGTGACCCAGCGCTCACCGTCGCCCACGGCAACGCAGCTGACATTTTAACCCCGTGACGTCGCGGTGGAGCGACGTCACCACCCAGTTGGCCGCCATCTTGTATAGGGGACTTGAGAGGCGCCATATTGCTCGGGGTGTACTGTACGTGTACAGTGCAGCAACGCGTTGTCTCTCCACTGCTGGATGAGGGATTTCCCCCACCCTTTTGGAAGGGGTCGTGGGCATTGTTTTGACCCTGGAGCTGTCACGCCTCTGACTTTATTTGGTTTACTTTGCTCTGATTTTGTACTTTGCTTTTAGTTATTTTCGTTTCGGTCACCCACGGCGCGCTCTTTACAAACGAGACGTATCCTGCTCCATTGCGTCCCCACATGGTTAAACAAATTAAATAAAACGGGATGCCCTTAAGGTGGCGAGTATTGTTGTACAATACAATGGGTTTTGTTGCAGTGGGCCGTGCTGCCCACCAGCCTTTAACACCTTTAAAGCGCGGTGTTCACCCATCCATGCTCAACATTGAATTTAAATCTGCGTCCTTTTTAAACGCTTCCCAATTAAGGTTCAACGGGCAAAATGTACGTCTGTCCATCCGTCCGTCTGTGTAACTGGGACACACACGAAATAACTTGGATAGATAGATGTATAATCAATACAAACACAACTTGAGGGTAGAGTTGTGTTACTATGTAATTAGTACTTCCACGATTGCTGAAAACCGGTCACAATGATAAAAAAAAATCTAAAGTGCGCGCGTCAACTTCATATTAATGCGTTATTGTATTGGGGTACTACATTATTACAGACCAATTCAGACCTTATTGGTCACCCCGTGCCCTTATAGATCTCAACGTTCATCCTAAAAAGTCCCATCACAAGGGAGAAACACAAACAGACACATTGTTTTTGTTTCGCGTATTGAAACGGCTGTACGCCGTACGAACCTGAAAAATCTATTTCCCATGTACAAGAATACGGGGTAAACCGTATGGGTTGACAGGTATGTACTACATTATATATCGACCAGGCGAATGCCCCATTGGAATTAAATATCTTCTGACTACTCCAGTAAACATGCTAACGGTTGGCCCAACGGTTTCCAACAACATGCTAACGGTTGGCCCAACGGTTTCCAACCACATGCTAACGGTTGGGCCAACGGTTTCCAACCACATGCTAACGTTTGGGCCAACGGTTTCCAACAACATGCTAACGTTTGGGCCAACGGTTTCCAACAACATGCTAACGGTTAAACCAACGGTTTCCAACCACATGCTAACGTTTGGGCCAACGGTTTCCAACCACATGCTAACGGTTGGCCCAACGGTTTCCAACCACATGGTAACGGTTGGGCCAACGGTTTGCAACCACATGCTAACGGTTGGGCCAACGCATGTTAACTGGGTGAGCACGTTCCCACCGTATGAGAGCCCAATGGTTATGTAATATGATTGCATGTATGTACTGAATGTTTAACTTCTTTAGCACCGTATGTCGCCAAACCTAGGTGCGGGGGGAAAAAACTAAGCACACACAAAACATTTTTTTCTAAATAAGTTAGTTTTCAAATGACTGACCACTTTTAACAATTTAGTTAAATTCACCCTGGTCATTAAAGGTGTTTCTTTATTCGACCATGTGAGAGCCCATCGATATCATTTCTTGGGATTGACGTCCTTTATTTTTTACCATGTTACAGCCGATTGAGATTCATTATCTTTTGGACTGACCTTATATGAAGTAAGAATCCATTGTGATTATATTTTACTAAGTATAAGCAGACTATTCTTCCTACATACATCTGTCCCTCAACATAAACGAAACTACACTTTTTATTTTACCAGGTAAGGCCCATTGAGCGATACAGTATAGCTCTTTTTCAGAAGTGACCTGGCCACACAAATGATAGCTCAACGATGTGGCTTATCACGTGGAAATGTACAGCAGCCAAATAATCTAAACTCATGTAGATTCTAAACGTGGAGGGAAAAAACGGAGGACCCGGAGAAAAATTAACGCGACCACTGGGAAAGAGACAAATATACATCAGGCGTCAGGGTTGGGATCGAACCCACTACTTCCTGCGTACCAGGCGAGGTAGTTAACATCTCGCCACCATGGCGTCACATCTCGCCACATGATGAGATAACATACAAAACATTTAATATCTCATCTTCGACACAACACCATTGGGAGTACATTATTTCGGCAGCATATTGTGCGCTTGTTTTGTTACTTATACTGTATTCTCCACGACAACGCTAATGGTTCTGCCGTGTTGCCTATTCAGACGAGAAAGTCACTTCCACATGGTGTGGTGGTGTGATGTTCACACCACGTGTAAATCACTTAGGTGGCGCAGCAAAGGATCAGATTTCACTTTCCACCGATGTGATCCGAACTCAGGTGCCGGGTTCATCGTGTCTTTTGTGAATCACTGCACCACAGCAACCCCACTAAATCACATTACACATCTATACACACACAACAGAGACAAAGGTATCCCGTATAGTCTTGAATCGACTGTAGGGGCAAGTTCTGTTAGCGAGTATCTGTGAAGGCCGGCACGGCACACGAGGGGTGGGTGGCCAGCACCACGCCCGGCCGCCTTTGTCTCCCTTGTGGCGATGTTTACACATCACACTAGGTACTCATTTGAGGCTGAGTCGACCTCCGGAAAGCCCATGACTGTCACTGGTGTTAACCGTGAGCAGGAATCGAACTTGGGTTGCCGGGTTTCGTAGCACAGCACGTTTACGACTATACTACCGCTCCACCCATATACTTTACACACTATCACATCCATATTTACATATGGATACATAGATACACTGTATATCCCGACACCTACATAATGTATACAACTAAACACTTACATGGCCACATCAACCAATGTGTGCACACCCAATCTTTGTCAGATCTCAGAAACTAAGTTAAAGTAGATTTGATAGCGCTTGGACGTGTGACCCACGATGACTGAAACAGGTCGTTGTAGGCGGCTGCTGGGGAGCTACGTTAACAGCAGAGGGGAGTGCAGCAAAATGCATTGTTGCACAGCGCTATGGCTCCCACGGACATGCCCTCCCCACCACCCCACCTTTGTGAATGCGCGCTGTCCAGCGTGCTGAAATAGATCAACAACAACAACCGCCGTCCACCACTAGGTGGCGGTGACGTAACCACGGCGCTTGTGCCAGGCTAGGTGCACTTTGAGGCCACGTGAAGTGTCGAAGGCTCGCTGCTGCCAGGAAGGTCAAGGGACAGACCCAGGTGCCATGGATTGACTGACTGAGATGACTGGCAGATGCACCATCCTATGCTCCCCCAATGTGCCAAAAGTGGTTGAATAACCCCCACGACCCACACTGCGGGGGATGCCCTCATCCAGCTGTGGTTTAACCAATTGTACACACATGTACAAACATACACGCAAATACAATCCCTGTACTGTATATAGGTATAATATAAAGAAGTAAGTAGAGCACTGTTCCCGCATATATTTATTTTACCATTGATTTTTCTTGCCACACATCTTAGATTAAGGTTGATGAATAACCAACGGTACTCGGGAAATAATTATGAGTTTATACCAGGTGAAAAATATTAAAAGTAGAGATAGTGTGATAGAGTGTAACACAATACACAAATACAACTTTGAAGAAGAATAAAAAAAAATGCTCGAGAAATACAGCCGAAATAATTCTAACAAAAACAATACAACTCCGCTGAGTCTACTCAACAGATATACACGTTATGATTGTGTAGCCAATGCTGTGGATAAGGCAAATACATTATAGAGGGTGGTTTAGACGGCTTGTGACCCCCCAAAAAATTGACCCCTACTATTTATTTCCTTTGCGTATTCATTTTTTTTTTAAATAAACCTTACCTTAAATAAATATTACGTTTTAGAGAATGAAATGGGGGTCACAAGACATCTGGAGACAAGACATCTGGAACCACGCTGTATATTAGCGCAGGTAGACTATCAGGGCACGTGCTGTGAGCGAGCACCTATGAAGGCTAGCACGGCCACACGAGAGAGTGGGTGGTCAGCACCATGCCTGACCGCCTTTGTTTCCCCAGTGGCGATCTTTACCACACACCGCACCAGGTACTCATTTGAAGCTGAGTCGACCTAGGGGGTTCGTCACCGGTGTTGGCTGTGAGCGGGAATCGAACTCGGGTCGCCAGGTTCTTAGCGCAGCTTCGTCTATTCTAGTTTCCCGCACACATCTCCCTCTTATCGTCTCTTACATCTTCTCTACTCCGTACACACAGCCCTGCATCACTCTCTTTCTACCATTTCTCACACGCACATCCTCCACGTATCTTTCACACCTAAATATTCCTGTTCTCCCCGTTTCTTTCTCACACGTCCCAAAGCAACCCTCGTGTCCATCTCTCTCCTCTGCCGAACGCATCCCTCTCTCCGCGTATCTGTCTTACATCTTCCCAAACACATCCGCCTCCCCGTCTCTCTCTCTCTCTCATCCCACACACGCGTCCTTCTCTCCCCATCTCTAGTACACATCCCTCTCTCCCCGTTTCTCTCACATCACTCACACACACACGCATCTCTTTCCTCCACGTCTCTCTCACATTACTCACACACCCATCCTTCTCTCCCCGTCTCTCTCACATCACTCACACACATCCTTCTCTTCTTTCCGTATCTCTCACATCACTCACACACACACACATCCCTCTCCCCCCGTCTCTCTCACATTTCCCCACACACACGCATCCCTCTTTCCCCGTCTCTCTCACATCTCCCCCCATACACGCATCAATCCCTCTCCTCCCCGTCTCTCCCCGTATCCACATGGCTGGGAGGCAGCTGCTGCTGCTGGCCTCTGCTACTTTCCTCGTCTCGTCTCTGGCAGGACTCGTGTCTGGTAAGAAACGTTTCCGTCTCCACTGTCGCCCACAACACTGCACACATAGTGTACACACACAATGCATTGTGTGCGCACACGCACAATGCATTATACACACAGACAATGCATTGTTTGTATGCACACACAATGCATTGTGTATACTCACATTGCAGTGTTTACACATGCGCAATGCATTTTGTGCACACATACGCATTGTATTGTGTGCACACATACAATATATTCCGTACACACACCCTCACCATAACGAATTGTGCACACAGAATGCACTTTGTACACATACAATGCATTGTGTTTACACAGATACGCAACGCATTGTATACACGCATACACAATGCATTGTGCACATGCATACGTTCATAATGCATTATGTGCACGCAATGTCTTGTGCAGATACACACAGATACACACGTTCATGGAATGCATTGTGTGCAGACTTTCATATAATGTATTGTGTATATACACGTTCAGACGATACATTGTGTAGATATAGTCATGTAATCCATTGTGTACACACGTTAATATAATGCACCGTGTACACACGTTCATATAATTCATTGTGTGCACAGTCATGTAATCCATTGTGTACACACGTTTTCAAATAATCTGCAACAGTCATCGCACGATGATAACACAGTGTATTGTATTCGTGATATAAATAATAATTTCAATACGTTATGCCATCTTTTTAAAAATAATCATCTCCCCCACTCACCACCATCACTACTATCAGCAACCACTAGCTTTATCATCATCGAAAATAATTACTACCACCATCATCATCGTCTCACCAACAACAGCGGTCATTCGCCACTAAGTAGTGGTGACGTCCCCACGGCGCTTGTACCAGGCTAGGTGCACTCCGAAGCCACGTGAAGTGTGGACATTCTCGCTGACAGAAAGTCACGGGACAGACCCAGGTGCCATGGGTTGACTGACTGAGACGACTGGCAGATGCACCATCTGTACCCCCTGCTGTACCAACTGGCTGTATTTTAGTCGCCCGGCACTCCGCTCGTTGTTGTGAGCGTCGCTCTTCTGCCCTCCGCTGTTGTTGGAGGGCGACTGCGTCCAAGTGCCCAGAGTAGGGTCCTTCACGAGCCTCCTCCATGGAGGCCGATCTTGATACCGCTGGTACCAACAACAATACTTGAATCGTCACTACCGCCACCACAAATGTAATACCATTGTCTCATCACTATCACCTCCATCACAATCGTAATACCTAACAGCTCCATCACCAAGACCACGTTCAGCGCCATCCTTAATGCTTCCCTATGTCAACCTCTCTGCCGACTCTCCAACACCTCCTGACCCTCCCAGTGACCCAATAGCGTATCAACTCAAACGCAGCACATTCGTCAAGAACACTGTGTCCTGAAAAGGGAAACATTTTTAAATATATATTGGATGACGTTTCAGACAATGGCCCTGCTTCATAGGACACGGTAAGCAGACGTTTGGCTCTCCACGTACAGCACTGTAAAATAAAATAGATACAATTTTAAATCTGTTAGATTTAGTGCAATTTGGAGCAATGCTATTCAGCAAAAGTTTAAGCGAGCGGACTCTAGACTGGTTTAATTTGACTTGATTCCCTAGTCAGCAGGGTGATGTTTGTTAAACAAATGCTGCAGGTGTGCCAGATGTTATTTGCAAGAGCACTCCATTTTCACGATGGGGCCCTGTTCAATGCATAAAGACAAGCGTATTGGTCACTCTGTTAAACATAGTATTCTACAGTGGTTCACCCACTGCGCTATACATCCAGCGACTTGACTTTGAGTTCTAGCTACGACTAACATCAGTGACGAGTGATATCTGAACCGGTCCAGTTGAACCCTCTCCTCTCCACGCAACCCTGCCTTTACCAAACCGACACTGACCAGTGTGGTGAAGTATGGTCACGAAAAAAAACCCCATGACCCAAAGCGATTGACAAATGGCTTTGCGTTATTATTATTTAGAATAGCGTAGAAGAATCCGCTTTGTATTATCATCATCACGTCTGTCAAGTTCCTAAAATCTCCCGCCTCGTGTCTACGTGCACGCGCAGTCCTCGACTTACGAACTCCCGATTTACGAACACCCGCACTCAAGAACCACAGTCGATTGGCAGGCCGCGTGTGCTGGGGTAAAGTGTGGCTCCTCCTGCCTGTTTCCGAGATGTCTGGCCAGCGTGCAGGAGTAGGCCAAATACTCTCTAGAGGGGCTCCCTAGATCCTCCTCTGGTGGAGGCTCTTCTGCCAAAAGTGGTGTCGGTGAGCAATTGGAAGGGCTGCACCCTTCACTCACCGATCCTTCCACCCACGTTGGGAACTTGGTCTAATCATGCTGTTTCATCATCTCGTGCACACTCTTCAAGCACCCCACTGTAGGTCGCACGACTTTCCTCTCTGCTTAAATCGCACAGCTCCACTGGGAATCTCCTCCCACCACCTACTTTGCCCAAGCTCTTATAATAATGTCGCTTATACATGGCAACTTTGATAGCGGTTACATAATTGATATTTTGGGTTAGGCTACGTACTGATTTGGCCAAAACCTCTCCCGTTAAGACCGTATCACGTAGTTACGTTTGTTTCCCGACCGCTTGACGTTTTGGGCCTTTGGGACCTGTTAGAAGATTTAAAAAAACCCCGAAGCTTTTCGTGACCCCTAGAACTCTCTCCTCCGTCCTGCAGGTGCCCCGAAGGTGGTGGACCCCGAGCAAGGATGCCTGGGCTACTACGACTCCACCGAGCTGTGGGTGGAGCCCATTGAATGCCCACAGGAGGAGTTCTGCTGCGGGGAGTGCAACGACAGGATGTGCTGCTCCGCCAACATCCAGAAGCTCGATGGGCACGAGCAGGGCTGGTGCAAGATCCTGGGCCTCAGGTAAAGACACGGGGAGGCACGTGGTGGCGAGGGCAGGTCAACGGGGAAGTATGGGATGAGGGCGAGGAGAGGAGGCACGGTGAGGCTGGAGGAGGCGTTATTCAAATCAAGATTGAGGCGTTATCTCTTTATGTATGTTGAACATCTTTCGCGTAGTGTGTAGCCAACCATGCTAATCGGAGGTGCGTGGATATAAACACGGAGTTGAGAGGAGATGGGGAGGGATGGAGATACATGAGAAGTCATGAGGAGGTGATGGGAGATATCGAGAAGTAATGTGACCCCCAATTAGCACGATTGGCTACGTACGGTGCAAAAGAAGTTCAACACACATACATACATGTGACACGGGGAGACGTGGAGACACAGGAAGGCGACGGTTCACATGGACAGGAGATGGGAGATGCAGAAAGGCGCGTAGAGGCATGGAGAGATACAGGTAGCTGATGGGAGGTAAAGGGAAGGGAAGGAAGGTGAAACGAGCCACAGGGGAAGAAGGGAGGCGCAGGGGAGTGATCGGAGGTGAAGGGAAACATAAGAAGTTACAAGGAGGTGAATGGAGATAAGGCTGGGGGGGGTGGTGAAGGGAAACAAGATGTGAATCCAGGTAAAGGGATAGAGACAGGTTCAGTGATGACGTCGTCTTGTTCTATTTAATACCAGAAGCAGGTGGATTGCTTTACTATTCCGGCAAATCGCCCGATGGTGCTGGTTGTAATTACCCACGAAACGTCGTGCTCAAATTGTAAATGTTGTGGATTTACTCTCCAACACACCGGTGGGCTGAAGTAGTCACGAATTGGCGCATTTTGTTTACGTGACAAATCCCTTACTGATTGGCTGTGTCGGGTGGTGGATTGTTACGACACATTTATACTTACGCGAAAGCCTACGTGTTAAATAGACAGGAGAAACAGAGAGGACAACGGATATGTAATGAGTTGCAGAAAGTTAATTGTGGGGGAAGAGGCAGGGAGGAGAATCAAGACACAATGATGAAAAATAATACGGGGAGGTGATGAGATGCAAGGAGAAGAAGAGATCAATTGGAAGGTGAAGAGATGATGAGGATGACGCTACTAATGGTATTGATGTTGATGCGACAGCCCCTCCACAATAGCGGGCGTGGTGGCGGGGGTGCTGTTGTTCGTGGCGATCTGTGTCGTGGTCTGCTGCTTCTCCTGCTCCTGCTGCGTCATCCGACAGATGATGAACATCTCATACGGACCCGGTGACCCACTGCTCACTCATTTACTTATTCACTAACACACTCATGCACTCACACACTCACCCCCAAGCAATCACCCTCTTGCTCACATTCACATACTCGCTTAACCAACGAATCACAATCTCCCTTGCACTAACCATCCTGCTCAATTATCCACTCACCCACTCACTCATTCACTCTCTCACAGCCCCTGATGCTAGCTCTACATTGACTACCAATCCACAGTCAAATTAATGCCGCGTTCCCATGGCCACTGGAAATGAGGAACGGTGCTGGCTTGTTCGAGCATGACTCGAATCGTGTAACCAATGCTACATTTGCGACGCCTCTCCGTGGACTCGGCCCTTCATGCTCCATCCGTGCCACATAATTGTCCTCCTCCTGGCTACCCTTTTCCGTCCAGAGGGAAGTGATCGTAAACGCGTATCTTTTTATGAACGCTTTCGGTTAGTCGATAAAGTGTTATCACCATGTTTTTTTAATCTTACAACGAAGGTGATTGAGTAGGACAGCCCGAGCGCTGCCAATGCCATACTACTGCATGGGCAAGAGGTGCACAAAGCACAAATAACAAAAGACGCAACACATTCGTCAACAATGCTACGTTGAAATGGATTTTTTTTTATTATATATAATCGGCAACGTTTTGGCACAATGGCCCCTCTTCATAGCACATCTCGATTTGCGAAACAGGCAATGACACGGATCCTGATGCCATCGTTAGGTCGACTTATAAGTGATTCGTGAAGCACCGAAATCGGACCTGAGCGAAGAGACGCTATTGACCGCGCGTCTGTCATTCTGTACGGACACCACGACCTCGCGATTGATTGGTGGGACGCTCGGTGGAAGAGAGTCGTGGCTCGCTAATGAAAGCGAGCGAGAGAGCGGGATCGGCCTGACAAGGCTGAGTGCACAAACCACGCCGGCTCGCTCCCACAGTGGCCACAGAAATGTGGCAGAATGCAGTAAATAATTCTATCACACATACAGCCTCGTCATCGCTCTCCCTAACACTGACAAAGCCTCACCTCTACCTCTAACACAGCCCCACCTCTACCCCGAACACAGCCCGAACTCTACCCCTAACACAGCCCCACCTCTACCCCTAACACAGCCCCACCTCTACCACTAACACAGCCCCACCTCTACCCCTAACACAGCCCCACCTCTACCCCTAACACAGCCTCACCTCTACCACTAACACAGCCTCACCTCTATCTGTAACACAGCCCCACCTCTACCCCTAACACAGCCCCACCTCTACCTCTAACACAGCCCCAGCTCTACCTCTAACACAGCCCCCCCACTACCCCTAACACAGCCCCACCTCTACCCCTAACACAGCCCCACCTCTACCTCTAACACAGCCCCACCTCTACCCCTAACACAGCCTCACCTCTACCCCTAACACAGCCCCACCTCTACCCCTAACACAGCCCCCACCTCTACCTCTAACACAGCCCCACCTCTACCCCTAACACAGCCCCACCTCTACCCCTAACACAGCCCCACCTCTACCCCTAACACAGCCCCACCTCTACCCCTAACACAGCCCCACCTCTACCTGTAACACAGCCCCACCTCTACCCCTAACACAGCCCCACTTCTAACACAGCCCCACCTCTACCTCTAACACAGCCCCACCTCTACCCCTAACACAGCCCCACCTCTACCCCTAACACAGCCCCACCTCTACCCCTAACACAGCCCCACCTCTACCCCTAACACAGCCCCACCTCTAACACAGCCCCATCTCTACCACTAAAACAGCCCCACCTCTAACACAGCCCCACCTCTACCCCTAACACAGCCCCACCTCTAACACAGCCCCACCTCTAACACAGCCCCACCTCTACCCCTAACACAGCCCCACCTCTACCCCTAACACAGCCCCACCTCTACCACTAACACAGCCCCACCTCTACCCCTAACACAGCCCCACCTCTACCCCTAACACAGCCTCACCTCTACCACTAACACAGCCTCACCTCTATCTGTAACACAGCCCCACCTCTACCCCTAACACAGCCCCACCTCTACCTCTAACACAGCCCCAGCTCTACCTCTAACACAGCCCCACCTCTACCCCTAACACAGCCCCACCTCTACCCCTAACACAGCCCCACCTCTACCTCTAACACAGCCCCACCTCTACCCCTAACACAGCCTCACCTCTACCCCTAACACAGCCCCACCTCTACCCCTAACACAGCCCCCACCTCTACCTCTAACACAGCCCCACCTCTACCCCTAACACAGCCCCACCTCTACCCCTAACACAGCCCCACCTCTACCCCTAACACAGCCCCACCTCTACCCCTAACACAGCCCCACCTCTACCTGTAACACAGCCCCACCTCTACCCCTAACACAGCCCCACTTCTAACACAGCCCCACCTCTACCTCTAACACAGCCCCACCTCTACCCCTAACACAGCCCCACCTCTACCCCTAACACAGCCCCACCTCTACCCCTAACACAGCCCCACCTCTACCCCTAACACAGCCCCACCTCTAACACAGCCCCATCTCTACCACTAAAACAGCCCCACCTCTAACACAGCCCCACCTCTACCCCTAACACAGCCCCACCTCTAACACAGCCCCACCTCTAACACAGCCCCACCTCTACCCCTAACACAGCCCCACCGCTACCCCTAACACAGCCCCACCTCTACCCCTAACACAGCCCCACCTCTACCACTGACACAGCCCCCACCTCTACCCCTAACACAGCCCCACCTCTACCCCTAACACAGCCCCACCTCTACCTCTAACACAGCCCCCACCTCTACCCCTAACACAGCCCCACCTCTACCCCTAACACAGCCCCACCTCTATCACAGCCCCACCTCTACCTCTAACACAGCCCCACCTCTACCTGTAACACAGCCCCACCTCTACCCCTAACACAGCCCCACCTCTACCCCTAACACAGCCCCACCTCTACCCCTAACACAGCCCCACCTCTACCCCTAACACAGCCCCACCTCTACCACTAACACAGCCCCACCTCTACCCCTAACACAGCCCCACCTCTACCCCTAACACAGCCTCACCTCTACCACTAACACAGCCTCACCTCTATCTGTAACACAGCCCCACCTCTACCCCTAACACAGCCCCACCTCTACCTCTAACACAGCCCCAGCTCTACCTCTAACACAGCCCCACCTCTACCCCTAACACAGCCCCACCTCTACCCCTAACACAGCCCCACCTCTACCTCTAACACAGCCCCACCTCTACCCCTAACACAGCCTCACCTCTACCCCTAACACAGCCCCACCTCTACCCCTAACACAGCCCCCACCTCTACCTCTAACACAGCCCCACCTCTACCCCTAACACAGCCCCACCTCTACCCCTAACACAGCCCCACCTCTACCCCTAACACAGCCCCACCTCTACCCCTAACACAGCCCCACCTCTACCCCTAACACAGCCCCACCTCTAACACAGCCCCACCTCTACCTCTAACACAGCCCCACCTCTACCCCTAACACAGCCCCACCTCTACCCCTAACACAGCCCCACCTCTACCCCTAACACAGCCCCACCTCTACCCCTAACACAGCCCCACCTCTAACACAGCCCCATCTCTACCACTAAAACAGCCCCACCTCTAACACAGCCCCACCTCTACCCCTAACACAGCCCCACCTCTAACACAGCCCCACCTCTAACACAGCCCCACCTCTACCCCTAACACAGCCCCACCTCTACCCCTAACACAGCCCCACCTCTACCCCTAACACAGCCCCACCTCTACCACTGACACAGCCCCCACCTCTACCCCTAACACAGCCCCACCTCTACCCCTAACACAGCCCCACCTCTACCTCTAACACAGCCCCCACCTCTACCCCTAACACAGCCCCACCTCTACCCCTAACACAGCCCCACCTCTATCACAGCCCCACCTCTACCTCTAACACAGCCCCACCTCTACCTGTAACACAGCCCCACCTCTACCCCTAACACAGCCCCACCTCTACCCCTAACACAGCCCCACCTCTACCCCTAACACAGCCCCACCTCTAACACAGCCCCACCTCTACCCCTAACACAGCCCCACCTCTAACACAGCCCCACCTCTAACACAGCCCCACCTCTACCTCTAACACAGCCCCACCTCTACCCCTAACACAGCCCCACCTCTAACACAGCCCCACCTCTACCCCTAACACAGCCCCACCTCTACCCCTAACACAGCCCCACCTCTACCCCTAACACAACCCCACCTCTACCTCTAACACAGCCCCACCTCTACCCCTAACACAGCCCCACCTCTACCTCTAACACAGCCCCACCTCTACCCCTAACACAGCCCCACCTCTAACACAGCCCCACCTCTACCCCTAACACAGCCCCACCTCTACCCCTAACACAGCCCCACCTCTACCCCTAACACAGCCCCACCTCTACCACTGACACAGCCCCCACCTCTACCCCTAACACAGCCCCACCTCTACCCCTAACACAGCCCCACCTCTACCTCTAACACAGCCCCACCTCTACCTCTAACACAGCCCCACCTCTACCCCTAACACAGCCCCACCTCTACCCCTAACACAGCCCCACCTCTACCCCTAACACAGCCCCACCTCTAACACAGCCCCACCTCTACCCCTAACACAGCCCCACCTCTACCTCTAACACAGCGCCCTTCTCCCCCTCCCCTCTTTCTTTCCAGTGCTCTCTCACTCCATGGCAATGTGTCCGGGGGGAGGGGGCGGCATGGGGGGTCCTGGGGGGGCAGCACCCCCCCGAATGGGGGGGCCCTACCCTGTGTACAGCTCGGTGCCCACGAGGGAAGGGAGCCTCCCCAGCCCTCCACTGCCGTCCCTGCCCCCCATGCTCCCCCCGCCCCCTGTGGGGTCTGGCGGAGTGGGTGGAGGAGGAGCAGCAACGGGAGGAGGAGGAGGAAGAATGGCGAGCCTGCCCAGATATCAGCCGGCAGGTGAGATGATAACTTCAACATCATCAACATCGTCATCAGTATCATCATCCTCATCATCAGCAGCATCATCATCATCCGCAGCAGTAACAACAGCAGGATCAACATTATCATAAACAGCTGGAGCAACAGCAGCAGTATCATCATTGGCAGCTGTAGCAGTAACAACAATAACACATTCTCCTGTGGAGGGAGCTGGTAGGAACGTTGGGTTGCTCGGTCAATGGCCAGGGTCAACGGCGGCGTGGTGTATTCCGCACAATATGCCCGACTGTGAGGGCGGGCACAAGCCGGTGTGAGTAGGTTAAACGTTGAGTTTTATAAGGGCACCACGGGGTGACCAGCCCCTCCCCACCCAGCCCCACCCCTCCCACCCCCCACCCAGCCCCTCCCCACCCAGCCCTTCCCCACCCTCCCCTCCCCACCCAGCCCCTCCCCACCCTCCCCTCCCCACCCAGCCCCTCCCCACCCTCCCCACCCTGCCCCACCCCTCCCACCCCCCCACCCAGCCCCACCCTTCCCACCCTCCCCTCTCCACTCAGCCCCACCCCTCCCATTTTTGGATGTACGACGGACGGACAGACACAATAATCCCCTGTGGGCTGGTGTAACCAGGAGGTTCCTACCAGTATAATCGTTAGCGGCTGTATTTGTATTCACAGCAGCAGTGTCATCGTTAGCATCTGTAGCAGCAATAACACCAATAGCTGCTGTAGCAGCAGCACCATCCATAGCATCGCCGTCGCCATCATCATCATCATCTTCATAATTTTCCTCATCACATCATCATCTATGTTTGCATATGTGGAACACTTCCCTCCTCTTGGTAAACACGCGACGTTGACCCAACGTTTGCATGTTTACTGGGGGGTTGGGGGGGGGGGTACGTTTCCTCCTCTTCAAAATGCCCGTGCCACAGCGTCCCTTGAGGCTGTATCCTCTGTCTGCTCTTATAATGATTTACTTCCGTGAAAAGTGGTTGTCCTTTGGATGGATTAACCCACGCCATATGAATGTGTAAGTTCCACCACCAGCTCTTTGCTGCATCAATGCTCACTCACTCGAGCAGGGAGTAATTTCACTTACACCCTGAAGACGACTGCTTGTGTTGCAATCGAAACGTCGTCGTTTTTGTTTTTTTCTGGTTATTTTCTTTGAACCTATCTACGTGACTTTACCGAAAGACCCAAGAATGTGAATTCCTGCAGTCACGAAAGCTTTCAGTCAAGATTTCGAAATGTTATTTTTTTTTTATATAACATTAGCCGTCAATGATATGTCGATTATACCGTACTGTTAGTTGCCGTTGGCTCTCATTATTTAATTCGTTATAATTTGTTAAACCCTGTCTAAACCTGGATCTATTAAACATTTCTACGGCTTATTTTCTTATTTTAAAACCAACGTCTTTATTGTAAAGAAATTATGGAAATACACTGACAAATATACAGTGAGGGAAAAAAGTAGTTGATCCCCTGCTGATTTTGTACGTTTCCCCACTGACAAAGAAATGATCAGTCTATAATTTTAATGGTACGTTTATTTGAAGAGTGAGAGACAGAATAACAACAAAAAAATCCAGAAAAACACATGTCAAAGATGTTATAAATTGATTTGCATTTTAATGAGGGAAATAAGTATTTTACCCCCTCTCAATCAGAAAGATTTCTGGCTCCCATATGTATTTCATACAGGTAACGAGCTGAGATTAGGAGCACACTCTTAAAGGGAGTGCTCCTAATCTCAGCTTGTTACCTGTATAAAAGACACCTGTCCACAGAAGCAATCAATCAGATTCCAAACTCTCCACCATGGCCAAGACCAAAGAGCTCTCCAAGAATGTCAGGGACAAGATTGTAGACCTACACAAGGCTGGAATGGACTACAAGACCATTGCCAAGCAGCTTGGTGAGAAGGTGACAACAGTTGGTGCAATTATTCGCAAATGGAAGAAACACAAAATAACTGTCAATCTCCCTCGGCCTGGGGCTCCATGCAAGATCTCACCTCGTGGAGTTGCAATGATCATGAGAACGGTGAGGAATCAGCCCAGAACTGCACGGGAGGATCTTGTCAATGATCTCAAGGCAGCTGGGACCATAGTCACCAAGAAAACAATTGGTAACACACCACGCTGTGAAGGACTGAAATCCTGCAGCGCCCGCAAGGTCCCCCTGCTGAAGAAAGCACATATACATGCCCGTCTGAAGTTTCCCAATGAACATCTGAATGATTCAGAGGACAACTGGGTGAAAGTGTTGTGGTCAGATGAGACCAAAATGGAGCTCTTTGGCATCAACTCAACTCGCCGTGTTTGGAAGAGGAGGAATGCTGCCTATGACCCCAAGAACACCATCCCCACCGTAAAACATGGAGGTGGAAACATTATGGTTTGGGGGTGTATTTCTGCTAAGGGGACAGGACAACTTCACCGCATCAAAGGGACGATGGACGGGGCCATGTACCGTCAAATCTTGGGTGAGAACCTCCTTCCCTCAGCCAGGGCATTGAAAATGGGTCGTGGATGGGTATTCCAGCATGACAATGACCCAAAACACATGGCCAAGGCAACAAAGGAGTGGCTCAAGAAGAAGCACATTAAGGTCCTGGAGTGGCCTAGCCAGTCTCCAGACCTTAATCCCATAGAAAATCTGTGGAGGGAGCTGAAGGTTCTTGTTCCCAAACGTAAGCCTCGAAACCTTAATGGCTTGGGAGAAGATCTGCAAAGAGGAGTGGGACAAAATCCCTCCTGGGATGCGTGCAAACCTGGTGGCCAACTACAAGAAACGTCTGACCTCTGTGATTGCCAACAAGGGTTTTGCCACCAAGTACTAAGTCATGTTTTGCAGAGGGGTCAAATACTTATTTCCCTCATTAAAATGCAAATCAATTTATAACATTTTTGACATGCGTTTTTCTGGGTTTTTGTTGTTGTTATTCTGTCTCTCACTGTTCAAATAAACCTACCATTAAAATTATAGACTGATCATTTCCTTGTCAGTGGGCAAACGTACAAAATCAGCAGGGGATCAAATACTTTTTTCCCTCACTGTAAGTAACCTTGGCACTATCTTTGATGTTGGCCAAGTTAATAAAAATCTTAACACACTCGTCAACAACTCTGCCCCGAAAGGAAATAAATACACAATAGGTGACGTTTAGGGTCATAACCCTTCTTCATAGCGCATACAATGATCAAATTAAATGATTTGTTTTCTGTGACCTAGAGCTTTTTATGTGCTCTCTCTCTCTCTCTCCGTCTCTCATACGTCTCCCAACTTTGTAGGATATCTTTATTTAATCTGTTCGATATCTCTTGTATCCATGATTCTCTTATCCCTTCTGCTGAAATCCTAATTTATGCCTTTGAATATTTTTGTAAGGACTGCTAGCGTCGACAATTATCTAAACTGGTCCCGGGCCTCCCCTAGGTCAACTGAGCCTCAATTGAGTAGCTGGTGCGATGGGTAAACATCGCCACTGGGGAGACAAAGGCGGCCGGGCGTGATGCTGGCCACCCAGCCCCTTGTGCGCCGTGCCGGCCTTCATAGGTGACCGCCAACAGGACTTGCCCCAACAGTTTTCTCAAGGCTATACGGGGGATCTTTGTCTTTGTTGTGCGTGTGTGTAGCAATGTACGCAGCCAATGATCAAGCCTCCTACGAGTCCGGCTACGCTTCCAGACAAGATCCCAGCAGCACAGTTTGATCCCCCCCCCGCATACACACATTACATATACCTATACACACACATATACATATATTTGGGCAGTGGCATGGCCTAATGGTAAAGTGTTTGCTGCTTGTTGCAGATGTTTACGGTTCGATTGCGGCAGGCTGCCCTGGTTATTACTGCGGGTGTATTTACCAAAACAAATAGCGCAGTCGATGATAAAGATCCCCTGAGGTTATTAAAAATGAGAAGGCCATTGTGTGCCGGTGTCAACGTCTAAGTATGCCAACATTTGAAGAAAAAAACCTTGCAAATTACTCAATTAGGCTTACACATAGCAACATCGCCCCTCAGTGGGAACCTACTGCAGGATATGTCTGTGAAACATAGCACCTTTGTGATAGCCGTGCACTGAAGTAATGGCACGAATATTATACTTACATAGATACACGTACAGATATACGTGCAATACACATACCTGTACACATATACCTACATACATATAGATAGATATACGTACATATACAGAATATGTACGCTTGTATACTTGGGACGGGTTCCCGAGTTTTGGATGTGAAAATGAGGCGTAGATTTGAAACTTCTGAAGATCCAATAAGTTTGTTTATGCTTGACCGGGAAACAGGAAGTGACATCGCTCATTTGAAATCACTGAATGGTGTCACAAGGCATTGAGTTGACAACACTGTTGTTAGCATGCAGACAGATAGATATATAACGAAATGTAAATGGTCCAAAAATATGAACAATTATTTAAAATACAACACAAAATGTTTTCATCTGATAATTATCATAAACATCTATCTATCACATGCACACGGGGGCTTAATTTATCAATGAATATTTTCCAGGTCGCTGGTAGACTGGAGTAGGCACGTGGCTAGTAGCCACAGCTATAGTGAGTGCTATATTGGGGTTGGTGTGCTGGGTGCAGAAATAATATCTGGGTCGCTAAACCTGGGCAGACCCTGGTGAGATTAAGTCCTTCATATTCATACCCTTACACGCAAACTACTCCACATTTACTCTTAGACATATAGTCATATACATACACAAAATAACTATTGTTCTTGATATACATCTGCTCAGTGTTCTGTCCCGCAACTATCAACGGTTGTTACTTAAATAATTTGCAACCTCAAACACCACACGGCTCTTTACTAGTAGCTACGTACCTCGGCTGTGTGACACGGACTGTCCCTCGTGTGTCCAAAGATTCGTTAGTGACCCACGTGGGACACTAATGGCATCACTAAAGTGTCTGTCCTGGTTTTAATTTTGGCGATATAAACAAACGTTTTACAACATTTCAACCCTTATCGTCAACGTTTCAAGAAGCACAATAACGCCGCCGGGTGAAAGAGATGAACCTTAGAAAGATATCCTGGGATCGCTAAGCAGCTCTCACAGCTCTCCGATGTGTTTTCAGGGTGCACCGCGTGTTGTTTTGGTGTGTTGTCGGACGTTTCTGTGCACGCGCTGAAGATGCTGAACTGAAGAAGCTGCCACTGGAACGTGGAGCGAGACGTCGCTTTGTGTTGCCGAACAACGCACGGTTCAGCCCGACAAAGCAATACATCCGCAGAAACCTACGCTGTCGAAAATTGTTTTAATATTATAGTATTTATATTATTTATAACATTGTATTCAACCCGCTAAACATATTGTTATCGTTGACTTAAAGGTCATATGCGTTGTCCGTAAAAGTCATGTTGAAGATTATAATTACTTTTTTATATATATACAGTACTTCTCAAGTGTCAACAAATATGGCACGAAACGTTTAAACAAATTAACTCGACAAATTCGTGAACAGCATTATGTGAGACCTTAAAATGTTTTTATTTATTTTTAATAGGCCATATTTCCGGGCAATTGCTCTTCTTCATAACGTTTACATATATATTTTAATTGGGGAAAAAAATCAGTCACGGCGGGATGCATTTTCGTTCAGTACAGATGCATTTTGCTACTTTGCTAAAAAGAAAGCTGTGGAAACTCAGAAATATGACCGCATGGGGACTGTGAGCAATTTGGAATCCTAATAAGTTTGGGTACACTACCACTCGTGATAATCGTGTGTCTGCTGACAGCTCTTTGGAAGGTGCTTATAGAGTGGATTTACAAATGTTCTGGATTACCAGCGTTCAGATTTTTGACGCTCAACTGCACAAACGTACGTCCACACATCGCACTTGCCACGGCCCTTGCAAGCGTAACCACTTTGCGGAGCGATTGGCAAGCTCCTAAATTATGACTCCCAGTCTAATTGGCAAAATTTGATCATTTGTTCATTATTATCCCTTTGTAGGGCAGGACAAAAATTGCATTGGATTAACTGTCTTAAGGCAGGTAGGAGAATAGCGAGTGATTACTACTTTTCTTTTCACGGTGTGGCTTTTAGAGTAAACTTTAAAAAATAAAAATGATTATTTTGTGATGCTGCTACTGCAGCATTGGCAGTGGTGCACAAGCACAAAAAATGCAAACCCAACACATTGGTAAACATTACTGTGGCGTTAAAATTAAACGTATAATCGGCGACGTTTGAGGCGATGGCCCTTCTTCATAGCACATACACCGCTTAAGACAGTGTTGTTGATGAGCGTGTTGAAAATTTAAACCCAACTGTCACTGGGACTGGATTGCCATGTTTCGACTCCAAAAATTGGACCAAATGTATTTGACAAACCACTTAAAATGATCGTTGACATATTTGTGGGTAGTTTTTATTCTGAAGACATCCCGTAATCATGACTGCATTTGTCGCTTATCAGTTTTTTTGAACGAAGGGTAATAGCAATAAACTCAAAGATGGTCTACAGATTTAATAGATAATGTATAATTGAACGTGCTGTGATAATGAGTGATGAAATCAGCTCGATGCTAGATGGATGACGTAACATCACAGGATTGTGAGAGGTGGTGGTGGTAACTTGGAAAGGCGTTCATCCAGCAGTTAATTGACCATGACTGATGATCAATTCAGCTCAGAAATCCTGTGTGCCTGGGACACACAGCCTAGGTGTGTGGCTATAAGGGAAAAGCTGTTTCTTGGGTATCCCTTAGTTTAAATGATGTGTGTATGTGTGGTACTTTATATACAGCAAATGTAAACTGTTACACTATATGTGAATTAATATGGACAGAGCAGTATTTAACACTAAATGGCACTAGCGTCACTCAATATGAGACATGTGACATGTTAGTACAGTATTATAAACATGGGGGAATGAGTTCAAGGCCTGGGTCTGCGTGTCAATCTCATGAAGGAGGTTCATGATGGCTGTGTCAGGAACACCGAGCCAAGCATCACTGATGACCTGGGTTCAAGCCCTGGGTCTGCGTGTCCATCTCATGAAGGAGGTTCATGATGGCTGTCAGGAACACCGAGCCAAGCATCACTGATGACCTGGTTTCAAGCCCTGGGTCTGGGTGTCCATCTCATGAAGGAGGTTCATAATGGCTGTGTCAGGAACACCGAGCCAAGCATCACTGATGACCTGGGTTTAAGCCCTGGGTCTGGGTATCCATCTTATAAAGGAGGTTCGTAATGACCGTGTCAGTGACACTGAGCTGGGACTGTTGGGAATCCTGAGTTCAAGCCCTGTATAGGGGACTGGGTGTCTAGTCCTTCCCACAGTGCGTTCATAATGGCCAAGTCATAATGATGATGATGAATGAGACACCATGTTTTCTCCAGCCACATGATAAAATTGTCGTGCCTATAGAAGGTAGTACAGCAAGTAGGCTACTTGGCTGAGATACACCAGGGTTTTAAGATGTAAGCATACACGTGAAGTGTTCCTTTATGAAGCTATAAGGGGGGGGATGGGAACCGTTATTTATCTCAATATCTGTGTGTGCGTACACATGTGTTATAATAGTTGTGGCTTGTGAGTAAGGTTTGTAAATGAGTTGGATATTTTGTGATTAATGTATTACTTCTGCTGCTAATGTGAGATTGTCAAATTTTACACAAAATAAATAATTGGTTGTCGGAACAAAGTTTGTGTCAATATATATATAAAATGTGGTTACAACAATTTTAGTCAAAAGTGGTGTTTTTTGTCGTATGGAGTGACTGGGCCCCACCATGTCAACGTGGAATTTCCACCGCTAACTCGGGGCTGTCATTGGAGATCAGCAAGGAGCCATAGCTGATGTAAACATTACTTTTAAAAACTGAAGTACCATTTATGTAACTTAATAAATGGAAGTAAAATCATTTTAAATATAATTTGATACTAACATTAGTAAATGTAGTGAAGTGACTACATTACCTAATGATGATTATACCAAGTCTACGCTAAATTTAAATAATAGAATAATTATTGTTTTAATTGGTTTCAATTGTAAAAATCAACAACTCATCTGCACATTGCCCATTTAAAGTTAAAAGTATTTGCCTATTTGGTGCTGCTGCTGCGTTGGCAGTGGTGTATAATCACAAATAACAACAAAACCGACTCAACACAGTCGGCATTAAAAGCTATGGCCTTAAAAGTGAAAAAACACATATAATAGGCGACGTTTCGGGCAATGGCCCTTCTTCACAGCACGCTTGAAATTGCAAGCGACACTGCGAACCATCGTCACATCCTGGGAAATCAGTGACCTCACAATAAAATATCTATTGCGTCATTACTTACACTTCCCTCTTTATGACATCATTCTGCCAAGACGCCGACGTCACAATTCGGGACCTGAATCGCACGCGCCTCTTGTCGACAGCGCCGCCAGTGTCTCGTTGACGTCATCCTACCAGTGTGGTGACGTAGTCGCAAGGTTGCCGAGTGACGTCGTTCGGGGGTATCCGCAGCAACCGCGAGGGGACGCCGAGGCGGTGACGTCATCGCGAAACTGTACAAATCACGCGTGGCGCTCAGCGTAACCAGGCGAGGTTCACTCTGTCGTGGTTGACGGCCTTTGTTTACTTCACCATGTGTGAGAGAGCCCGTTGACATTGAGTTGTCTCTCGTGATTGACGTCCTTTACTTAACCAGGTGAGGAGCCCATTGAGATTATCTCGTGGTTGACGTCCTTTATTTAACCATGTGTGAGAGAGTCCATTGAGATTGTCTATCGTTATTGTATCCTTTATTTAACCAGGTGAGGAGCCCATTGAGATTTGAGTGTTTCTCGTGATTGACATACTTTATTTAACCAGGTGAGACCCCATTAGAGGACAATTAACCTCTTGTAAACGACTCCGCTTATTTCACCCCTTCGTTGTGACTAACTGTATCATATTCTTAGTTTTTTCAGTAAAGTCACGTTGAAACGTCGTGAGAATTTTTTATTGTTTTATATATTTTGTTATTTTGTTGTTTCTCTTCAACGTGACTTTACCGAAAAAACTAAGAATATGAATTACTGCAGTCACGAAAGCTTTAAATCAAAATTTAACTGTATCATGTTTTTTTTACGCAAAGTGACTGCATTACAATCACGGAAGCACTGAAGAAAGTTACTTCAAATTTTGTTTCTACTCGTGAACGAAGCCTCACACTCGTGTGGGACAGCCTCGGTGTGAACCTCCTGGAGAAGGTGACGACGCAGGGCCTCGTTAAGAGGGGGTAATTATTGATGGTGTGTTGCGTTGATTGCCCTCAGGGAACGGGGCGGAGATATTGATCGGGGATGAAAGTGAATGGAGCCACGCGTCAAGAGTGACATCAAGCAAAGAGAAGGCACGGTTGTGATGAAGAACAGTTGCTCGAGGTATCATCATCGTCAGCAGCAGGAATGTTGACATCAGCAGCATAATTATGAACAGCAACATCATCAGCACCCTTTAGCAGCAGCGGAATTATCATCAACAACAGCATTAACGGCTTCATTGTCATCGATATCAGAAGCAACATCAGTCACAGCAGTGGCAGGATCAGAATTAGCATCAACCATATATTGTCATCAGCGGCATAATCAGCAGCAGCAGTATTACCATTATCAATACTCTTTGGTTCTTTCGGTAAAGTCACGTAGGTTGAAAAATAAAATAAAAACATATTTAATTCATTTTAGAAAAATAAAATAAAACAAAAATATTTTATTTTTATACCTACGTGACTTTACCGAAAGAATGGTTTCCCGCAGTCACGAAAGCTTTAAATCAAGATCATTATCAGTGTTATCATTACCATCATCAACATAATGTACATATGTCTTTATTTAAAGCGGTTGAGCATGCAGATGGCCATTCGCCACCACGTGTGCCGTGTGCTAGCTTTCGTAGTTGCTCGCAAACAGCACTTGCCCCAACAGTCTGTTAAGGCTGTAAGAGGGATATTTATCTTTGTGTCTGTGGTGCAGTGGTTCACACACTGCAGTATGAACCTGAACTCATCCTGGGCCTCCCCTAAGTCGACTCAGCTTTAAACGAGTACCGTACAATAAGTGAGAAAATCAGCAACCGAGCTGATTTCACACCACCCCCTCATATATTGACTGTTAAGACAGTGGGCTTGGGCAGGACGTGTCCTCAGAAGGCATGATGACGGCTCGTCGAGACTAATGTGGAGTGGCAGCCAAATGAGAGCATCTCCCAGACAATCAGCTGCTGGGCAGGTGCTAGATGGGTTGGCGGTGGCTTTCTGAGGCCTTCATCCAGCCGTGGATTGATCATGGCTTTTGATGATGAACAACATTTTTAGCCCCAATAGGTTACATGTTGATCTTTGGGTATAGTGAAACAGTGTGTATATTTGCGTGTGTGTTTTTTTAGGGTTAAAGTTATTCCCTTCAGCGATTATCTCAGCCACTGGTCCCAAACCGCCACCACTCAAAATCCCGGTGAGTCTTACCAGTCAGCACAGCAAGTAGGTTGTCACTGACTTATGGTATATTTATAGCTGATGTGTTTTAAAGCTGTATCCCATCAATAAAAAAATTGCCAATCATATGCAACGACTATCCTAAAATATTTTCAAGACTGGGTGAGGCTCTCCAGGATAATATACAAAGGTAATAAGTATTTACAATTTAAGGACAAATGTGTTTTGTATAAAGTGTATAAAGTGTGACTGAATCCCAGTGGACCTCGCCTGGTTAAAGGACAGTCATAACTCGAGATAATACATCTCAATCGACCCTCATTTTCATTAAGGATGTCACTGACACTTGGTAATGAATTTCTGTAGCTCTCTACTAGTCAATAAAGGACATCAATCGCAAGGGATAATGGTATTGAAGAGCCTTTATAAATAAAAGGCCACATTCACAATAGATAATTAATCTCAACGGGTTCTCACCTGGTTAAAAAACGTTAGACTCAAGGGATAATAACTCCGTAGCCTTGCACCAGGTTAAAGGGCACAGTATTTAATTACAAAAATAATTAATCTGAGTAAGCTGTCACCAGTTAAAAGGACAATTATTTTAATTGTTATTATTTTTAATTCTTGTTTTTTTGTGCGTCTTTTTTCTACCCAAACGATGATTCAGGCACCCAAGCTTCCACCTCTACCCAGGACCAGAGCCCTAGGCTGGTCGGGGTGACTAGGCAAGCCCCAAGGGTTTGGCCTACGCCACAGCCTCACATCGAACCCGACCCTGTGAACTGGGAGGCAGAAGCGGAGGAACTCGTGGAATGGACTCGAGCTTTGAGTCCCAGACTCCTGGAATAATTATGTTTTTTACTTCTCCCATTCAAATAATGTACCATTATTACTTTGTCAATTTCCAACTTGCCTTCTATTGCTCTGTGTAGGTTGAGTAAATCAGAAATGGCATTCTGGTATCTGACTCTGGACCTCCTATTGCCCGTTCTTCTGTCTCTGTACCACCTACGCTTCACAACCTGCAGCCTGTCAACCTAAACAGCATGAATACAATCATCTCGAACCTAAAAAAGTCTTCCATCCTCTGCCCTCCTAACCTGTTACTGCCTATCCACGCTGTCCATATTACCAGCATCATTAATGCCTCCAATACTGCTGCTCTTACTACCATCATGAATTAACTCACAATGAACTGCGAAGTTATATCCCATATCAAACTCCCCATGTAAAATTCCGATAAAGGATTATCTTTTCCCAAGTATGCAAATTCCTGTCTCTCCATTGTTTCCATGGGTCAGTCAAATCTGGTTTCAACCAAGGTTATTCTATTGACACTTATCTCCTGTATGTTCGAAATAAACATCTCTTCAGACCATAAATCTATTTCAACTCCATCCTTCCAGAGTGCCTCCATTACTATATAGACCAGCGGTTCCAAATATGTGTTACGCGGATCCCTGGTGGTCCACGAGGCTACTACAGGGGTCCTTGGAAAATACAAATAATATAATCACATCCTCACATCCTCACCAAGGTAATGCACAATTTCAAATAACTACTGCAGTAGTATGTGGTGGCCTGCGAAATGTTTGGAGTTTGAAAAGGGGTCAGCACACTTGAAAGGGTTGAGAACCGCTTATATAGACAAAATGAGTTTTTAATGTGTTGGAAAGTTAAATCAATTGTAATACGTGTTGTGAATAGACATAATGAATCTAAATATCCAAGATAAGTTTGGGCACATCAACTTTTAGTTTGACAAGTAATATGTTTTAACTACAGCAAGCAGTCTGTGGGCATCATCAGGATGAAAATGTTCCACCATCGCAGTAGGCTTAAATAAACACAGCACCCATTGTGGGGATGAGAGAGAGGAAACAGGGTAGACAGTTATAAACAGAGAAGTCAAAATAATCGTGAGCGTTATTGCGTAGAAAATAAATAAGGAGTCTATCTCCATCACATATCCGTCTCCAATCTTATATATAAAAGTATTTCTTACAGAACCCATTAGCTGCAGAAGGCCGCGCGGCTGATGGATTGTGTAAGAAGTACTTTGATGTGGAGATACGGATATGTGAAGGAGACATTGCTTATTTAATTAGTTGTGCACGCAGCTCGGTCTACAATCTGACCCAAGAACGTGCACATTTCAATTGCTAGCCTGCAGGTTCACACACTTTATACGGGGAAATGATGGTACTGATGCTCTGACTCGTATGGCACAATCAAAACCTGCTGTGCTTCTTTAAGCCCATTAAGACGATGGGGAACTGTATGCGCATCATTGCTGCGCATGCAATGATTCACTCCTCCCCAGCGATGCTATTGTCATAATTTGCGGTCGTGATTCCATTTCATTCAAAAATCATTTGTTACCGTATGAGCCCATCCATGTTATAATTTTTTTGTGCCATTTGTAGAGTTTTGTGACCCCATTAACCTAAAAGTAAAATTAGCATTTCCCACGTAATGTGCATACATTTAAATAAATTATCACCCTCTCAATGGTGTACCTTGAGTGTCATAGATTTTTTTGTGTGACAAATCCATGCATCGTTTCATACCTAATTTCCATCGCACCTCCTGGATTTGACATTCCTTGAAGACACCGGTGTAACCATCAAGCGCATCAGAACACTAACAGGCCGATGTAAAAATATCCTTCATAAGTGGAAAAATAAAGACAAGCCACAGGAGTGCGACTGTGGTCATGCAACCCAAACTACGGACATATACAGCAGTTAACCACTGAAGTCTGTAGTCCTTCAGAGAATGAACATAAAAAAAACTACATTAACTTTTGCCTGAAGCCCTCTCGTCGTGGCTAGCAGACCTTGACATTTGCAAATTCAGCTGCTGATCAGAATGCTGTCATACGTAATAATAGAATAGTGAAACACATTGTTAATTTTCAAGTCTTTCAAAATAAGGGCCTTGCTGTCATAATTGCCTATTTTGCACAAGAAACTGGGGTCAGTTTAACACGTAGGCTTTCGCGACCAATATCCATAAAACAAATTTTGGTTAGATCGCCTAAATATAAACGTGTCTTTAACCCCGCCACCACCCGACACAGCCAATCGGTAAGGTTTGTCGCGTGGACAGAACATGGCAATTCATCACTAGTAACGGCTAGTTGTAATTAGTGGTGAAACGTCGTACTCCGATTATAAATGTTGTGGCTTGGCTCTCCAACACACCGGTGTGCTGTACTAGTGACGAATTGGCCACGTTCTGTTTACGTGACAACCCTCCCTAGTTGGCTGTTGGTGGGTTTATCCACGTTGATATATTTACACGATCTAACCCAAAAGCACCTGTATTATGAAAGGTGGTGGTGGTCCTGGGGATGGTTAATAAAAATGAACACAACCGGTTGGGTTGGAGAGTTAAGCCCACACACATTAACAATTCGTGCCCGACGTTTCGCGTGTGATTGCAAACCGGCTTCATCAGGCGACGTTCAATCGCAGTGGGACGCGGTAGTTGAGCTGCACCGCGCTGCCGCTGCCGCTAGGGGCGCCCCTCGAGAGGTGCTGCCCACCCCCCAGTCCACTCCAGGGCCGGCCCGCCTGTGATGCCGACTGACAACAGCGGTAAAGGTAAGGGCCGAGATATTGTGCAATGGCGATTACCCATTTTTTGTTGTTGCATAGCCACCTGTTAAGTTCTGATAACGATGGGAAAGTATATATATTTTAAAAATAAAGTTGAATTGCATCGCAAGGGAAGTTAGTTAATAAACAGAGATTGCTTATAGTGAGGTCGGGCATTTTTAGTAGGCCTTTACGAAGCCTCCCCGCTTGCATGAATCTGCCTGCGGGAAAAACGGTGACAGGTACCCGCTCACCCCACACCCCCAGCTTGGGGCCGTTGCCATTGCTTTCAACGTAACAAACCCCCCCCCCCCCCCCCCCCCACAATTTATTGCATGTATGAACAGGCGCGGTGCTTGTTACACAGCGTACATGTTTTAATGACACTACTTCCAGCCTGGCTTTTAAATCCTGCGGGGTGGGATCCGTCCCCGTGTCTCGCCGAGCAACGCGAAGCGCAGAGCCCCTCGGGCGAGGTGGCGGCTGACGGCCGGCTTGGGTCCCCAGTGCGTGCGAAGCGACGCACAGCGGCGTCAAAACGTCCTCGGATTATTCGTCCGCTCCCTCGGATTATTCGTCTCCCGCAACACTTTCTTTCGGCACTTTTGAACGCGCTGATCTCAGTGTGTTGGGATTGGGGGGGGGGATCGGTGGTGGTCGCCGTGTACATCAAGGGACGTGCTGGTTAAACTGCACTGTTACGGTCTTGACTGCGTTAAGACAAAGATCCCTCCCACCGGCCCCCCACCCCCCTCCTCCACGGGCCCCCCACCACCCCCCCTCCACGGGCCCCCCACCACCCCCCCTCCACGGGCCCCCCACACCCCCTCACCGGCTCCCCACCGCCCCCCCCCACCGGCCCCCACCAGCCCCCCACCAGCCCCCCACCAGCCCCCCAATCCCCACCGCTCACCCCCAGAGGTTTCTGGCTCAGTGTGATTTTAATACTTGCATGGCCATTATCAACGCATTGAAAAAGACACCTAGTTCCAGGGCTTAAACCCAGGACATCAGCAGTTGTTGGCGCAAGGCCATTCAACCATCATGAGACGGAGACACAAACCCCAGTGGCTTTAATCCACAACCTTCCGCGACTGTTGGCTTGTACCTCTTTTTTCCCACTGCGTAATCGAGCCGCACCGGGGCCACGCCAAGCCAGCCCGGGGCGGCGCCAGGTGGTTTTCCATTGCAGAACCTGAGCCCTGCTGCTGGTGCCATCACATGCAACGGAGGAGTCGAAGGGGCGCATTTTGATGACTACATTATATTTTTAATCGAAATTTAAATTTGAATTTTTTAAATCGAAATTTAAGACTACATTATACACAATGCATTGGGCTCCACCCGCGCTGTTGCCCCTGGGCCAGGTTCAGATGCCTCGTGAAGCCATTATATCACGTATTGGTTCCAGCTCGGCACACCAAATAGCCAGTGGAAACCCACCCATACTGTGAGGGTTGATTTGGCCCGAACTTGCCATTCGACAAGGGGTATTTGCGTCCCCAAATTGGCCATTATAAATCTTTGAGACACCCAGACCCACGGATTTTACCCAGGCTCTCAGATGTTTGCTGATAGTGTGCCATTCTTAAACCTGACATGGCCATTATGGACCTAACGGCCATTGTAATACATTCAGATGGACACCCAACTCCAGAACCTAAACTTATGATCTAAGAGATTGCAGGGTCAATGTTTGACATAACTATTATCTATTTCTCGAGAGAAACACATTCATATTCTTGGATCTTTCAGTAAGGTCACATCTTTGAACCTATCTACGTGACTTTACCGAAAGACCCAACCAAGAATATAAAATCCTGCAGTCACGAAAGCTTTAAGTCAAGAAACAAAAGCAGCAGACCATGCTTTCCCACCTGATGACGGACGCTTGTGTTGCACCCGAAATGTCGTGATTCATTTTATTTTATACCTACGTGACTTTACCAAAAGAACCAAAGAGTAAGTATAAACTCTTAAAAAAGTGTTTTTCTGTTTGTATTTCAGGTTTCTCTGAAGTAATAACATCATATTTTATAATGATCAAAGTACTGAAGACCATTTTATGAAAAAAAAGTCATGTTGAAAAAACTGATTAAATTAATTTTATTGTATTAAAAATGCTATTATGAGAATACATGCAACAAATTTACTTCAAAACTAAAATTAAATCGACAAAAAAAACAACAAAACCACCACCCAAAAAATGGCAACTCCCAACTATTCGCGCTCGACCTTCGACCCGAACGTCATCCCCGGTTCCTTGCCGGATTCTACCCCCGACTCGGAAGCGACTCCTTCCTCAACCCTTCACCCAGGGGCCACCACCGATCAGCGCTGCTATCAGGACGAGACGCACGCAGTGCGCCTGCTGCGGTCACTCAACGCCCTCCGCAAGGACGCCACACTGTGCGACGCCCGCCTTTCTGTGGGCGGAGCGCAGTTTTGTGCCCATTCGGCTGTTTTGGCGGCGGCGAGCCCCTACTTTCAAGCTATGTTCGCCGGACCGTTGTCCATTGCCACAGCCGCTGGTGGGGTCGCCACCGATGGCGCTGTCGACGGCAGTTGTGACGACGGTGGTGGTGACGACGGTGGTGGTGGTGGTGTTGGCAGTGGGAGTCACGAGAAAGTAGATGGTGACTCCGACAAGGCAAGCAAGGTGGTCGAGTCCGAGCCTTTGGTTCAAATAGGAGGCATTGATGCGGAGACCTTTGAGATTTTGCTGAACTACGTGTACACAGGTGAGTGAGTGATGATCACTAACAAGGATGAAGCTTGAAATAACGTCATTGCCTTGTAAACTAAACAAATTATTTGATGATACAGTGTTTGCAGTGGTGCATAAATATATACTGGGCGACATTTTGGGAAATGACCCTTTTTCATAGTCTTGTAACACTATCTTGTAACACCATCATCTTCCATGATCATCATCAAGGCGCTTAGATATATTAGTGGAAGCCACCTTACAAATAAATGTATATTATTATCCTTATCACCATTAGCTTCGTCATTAGTAGCATCATCATGAGAACCATTATCATCCCTTCAAGGTTGATCAAATGAGTGGCAACAATTTGTGGGAAGTCATCTGTGGTTTTTCCATGGAAAAATTGATCGTCGCCATGGGAGTATGGAATTTATATTGCCGACATGAGGCTGTCGATTGAGATGAGTGCGACCCCAGGGAGAGATGATTTGAATTCAAGCCTCGAGCTAGAGTTGGAATCCACATTACCGCGATGGAGACAAATTTCGACTTCCCACATGTTTAGTGCTACTCATTTAGTCAGAGAGATGATAATCCTGATAGTGATGGGGTGAGTCATCTCGTGACTGTGATTTTAACTCAATTATAATGAAAATTACAGCAGCTTTGCTGAAATTACAATTATACTGTGATTGCAATTCATTACGAATTCGTTATGAGTCATAGCAACACATACCCATGGATGTTTCCTTGTGTTTGGTTGTGTCTGTATACTTTTGTCTATTGATTATATCTCTCTCGTTTTGTATATCAATGAATGTGTCTGTATTTCGTTCTGTCTCCATTTTTTTGAAACAACCTGTCTCTATCCCTATCCATCCCCCAGGCTCTCTCAAGTTGTCCGAATCAAACGTCCAGGACGTCGCCATAGCCGCCGACATGCTTAGCCTGGCCGGTGTCGTTAGGATCTGCAGTGACTTCCTGCGGGAGCACATATCGGCTGAGAACTGCCTGGGGGTGATGATGTTCGCCACCGCCATCTCCTGTCCCGACCTGGAGGCCCATGCCTGCCAGTTCTTCTATGACAACTTCGTTCCCGTGTCTGAGGTCAGGTTCCTGGTGCTGCTGTCCGGTTTCTCACAGGGTTCATAATGGCCATGTAGCAATGAGTTATTGTCACCACTCAATCAGTCATTGTTACACCTCCAATTAGCACGGTTGGCTACGTACGGTGCGAAAGGAGTTCACACATACGTCAGGAGTAATGAGTGTCTCTGCTGCTGCCAGCAGGAGGCGGAGTTCTTGTCGCTGCCCCCAGCCCTGGTGCTGAGTGCCCTGGGCAGCGAGGAGCTGCGCGTGGAGCGTGAGGAGCAGGTGCTGACAGCGGCGATGCGCTGGTTGCTGCACGCTCCGGCCTCGCGCCGCCTCCACCTCCTCCACATCATCAAAGCCGTACGGCTCCCACTGATCCCGCCCACCACCGTCACCTCGACCGTCGACGGTGAGGGGGTGGTGGTGGCAGCGATGGTGTTTGGAGGTGGACATTAGTTGTGGCTGTGGTGTCATTAGACTTGCAATGCTTATTTTCTGACGAGTAGAGATTTAAAACGGCACATAGCCTAGATACTCGATATGCAAGGATTAACCCACCCCATGGTGATTTCATGAACTCCCTTCCCCCAGCCATTGGTGCTGACAACCTCCTGTTCAAGGTCAAGCTCAAGACATTCCTGTTTCTCTTTGCCTATGACTTTCTCTTTATATGTAATACACATTGCCACTGTTTATGTGTGGCGAACTGAGATGTCACATTTATATTGTTTATAAAGCGAAATTTGTATTCTCGAGTGTAACTGTTACGATTCTGGTCGTTGTATTTTTTCTCATTCTGACCATCTCATTTCTATTATTCCTTAAAATAATGTGTTTGTACAGTTCCATTCGCTTAAATGTAAGTGTATAATTGGCATAAATTATGAATGTTCTTTTCTCATGCCCATGATTAATTCATGTCTCATGAGTGAAATAATACGTGTATCCTACTAGGTACACATATACAAAATAAGATTTTAAATAAGTATTGGACAAGGCTGTATTTCACAATGTTAAAATATTATATTCAGGTCTATTAGCCTATGAGCTTGTGAAACATGGTTCTCTTGCAGTATTAATTTAGTCAAGATTTCTGCACAAAAAAAAAATCATGGGTCCCATGCAGCCCAATTCAGAAAAACAAAACAACACAACATGAGAGCTGTGCTCTTTGGTTCCGAATAGAACCAAAGAGTATGGATCCTTGCAGTCACGAAAGCTTCAAATCTAGAAATGAGAGCTGTGTTCCGTCGTCCCGCAAACAATCGGCCTTCTCATGTGCTTGTGTCTCAGCCATTGAAGATCTCAGCGTTCGAGTGGCCCTGCAGGTTTTGCTGGATGAGTATCAGATCCCTCGACTGAGCAAGTCCTCCAGACCAACCGCCGTCTCCACCTCTGACTTTTCTCGTCGAGCCAAGCCCCGGAGAAAAGCTCGCAAATACCTCTACGTCATCGGTGAGACTCGGATTCGGGAAACCAGGATTCACGACTCGAGCTTTGATTGACATTGGGTTTCAGGATCAGAGTCTGTTGATTGAGACCCGGTTCCAGGATCCTGAGTTTCAGCATCAGAGTCTGAATTGAGACTCAGAGAGACTGGGTATGAGGATCAAAATCATTGATTGACACCCAACTGTAGGACACTGGTTTCAGGTACACAGTTTTTTTTTTACATTGACCATGTTTTATATTGAAACCTGAAAGCTACATTTGTAAGTCTATCTGGTTAACCTATGTCTATAATTTATTAAATAAAAATCATTAACGTGTACTGGACAACGGAGCCCATGGGGCATGGTCATAGCTCCTTTTCCCCACCTCCCCCTGCCACCCCTAGGAGGATACACAAGGCAGCAGGGGGGTCGATGGGGAGACAGCCGCGCTCTGAGCTGTGTGGAGCGTATGGACACCATCTCACTCTACTGGACATTGGAACCATCTCTCCACCAGGCCCGGAGTGGTCACTGTGTGGTCACGCTCGATGGATTCATTTACGCGATTGGGGGTTAGTTTACAAAATCGGCTCCAGGGAACTGGGTTTTAGGATCAGAATCTTGATTGAGATTCAATTCCATGATAAGAGTTGATTGAGACTGGGTTTCAGGATCAAAGTATTGATTGAGGATGGGTTTTAAGATTAGAGTCTTAATTGAGACTTCTTTAGCATCAGTCTCTATGGGGACTGCATTCAAGATCAGAGTCTTTATTGAGTCTGGGTTTTAGGATCAGTGTATTTGACACCTGCTCTCAAAATCAGTGTCTTGGTTATTTGGGGATCGGATCACTTTAGTCTTGTAATCTGATCCATGAGCCTGAGTTTTGGGACTGGCAAGGGGCACCTGAATTGTCTTGTGTGATGATCTTGTTTCAGGAGAGAGCGAATCAATGATCTTCGCATTTGTGGAGAGGTTCGACCCCGTGTGTCGGCAGTGGGCTCCCGTAGCATCCATGCTCTCCCCTCGATGCAGCTTTGGAGCTTGTGCCTGCAATGGAGCCATTTACGTCATGGGTAAGCACTTACTGTAAAGTTTCAATACTCTGGGTTTTGGCAGAACAGTTTTGATTGACACTGGGCTTCAGGATCAGAATCTTGGTTGAGTGTTGGCTCCAGGAAACATGGTATGCGGTTTTTGTCTTCATGGAGAGCCATTGAGAATGGGTTTCAGGATTTGAGTATTGATTGATATTGGGGTTCCGGGTCGGAGTCTTTGTAAGAGTTGCCACTGAACCCTTCCAACTTGCGGACGTCCCATTCCCAGACGACTGCAGTTGCAGGGTGGGTCCTGGGCCCGCAAGCGGTTAGCATCAATTTTATTTAGAGGCATAACGCCGCTGTTTTTATAGACATTGTACTCGCCACAGAGAACTGCAGCAACATGACCGCACCCTATGAGAGCTTGTGCCAAACTGTGCCACACACCCTCCCGATATGGCTTTTTCTGTATGTGTACGTCACCGGATCGGAATCTAAAGAAAAACTGATGACGTACATGTAATTTACCGGAATAGGAAAGGATAAATTTCGACCGTGTTTGGAATAAGAGTCTTGATTGAGACTGGGTTTTATGATCGCAGTCTCTCTTAAGACAGTCTATGGATCTGAGTCTTGATTGAGTCTCATTATCTAGGAGACTGGGTTTCCCAGTGGGTGTTTCACTGCCTGGCCTGTGCTGCTGCTGTAGGAGGCTGGGTGGGTGCCGATATAGGCTCATCGGTGGAGCGTTATGATGCGGCCGAGAATCGCTGGGTGGCTCTGGACAGCATGGAACCTCCTCGTCACAGCTTTGGCTGCTGCCACATGGACGGTTCGTTACATTTTCTCTGAAGGCAGCACCACTGCCCCCCACCCCCCAGTCAATTCCTCTGTGTCCTGTATCTAATGCGCCTGTTACCCCAATACAATTTTTTCTTTGCGTTTTTCTGCTTATCAGAGGAATACAATTTGCGTTTGCTCATAAAATATATAAACCATGTCACCGTGTCTCCATGTCTCTAAATGTGTCGGTGTATCTGTATGCCTCCCGAATCCTTGTTTCTCATATCGATTCTCTGCATGTCTTCTCCCCGTCTGCCTTCTCCCCTTAACGTCTCCCTCTCGCTCCTCGTTGTATCCGCTTTCTTCTGCTTCTGCTTCTCTCCCCACTGCCGCCGCCGGCGCGCTTGCCAGGCCTGATCTACGTGGCGGGCGGGCTGGGCGTGGGCAGCTCGGAGCTCTCGTCGACGGCGTCGTTCGACCCGCGGAGGCAGCGCTGGACGTGGCTGCCTTCGCTGCAGCGCGCGCGCTCCCACGTGGCGCTGTGCGCACTGGGCGGTCGCATCTACGCGCTCGGAGGCTGGGACGACGCGCTGGGCGCCCTCGACTCCGTGGAGGTGTACTCGCCCGATGAGGCAAGTTTCCCCGTGGTCGCATGGATATTTCCCCAGGTTTTTTCCCTCCACATTTAGAAACATGTGTTTGGAGTATTTGACTGGTATACATTTTCACATTAAAGGCCACTTCGTTGAGCTATTATCTGTGGCCAGGTTGCATCTGAAAAAGAGCTATATAGCTCAGTGGGCCTTACGTGGTGAAATAATAAAATGTTTATAGTTTTCATAGTTGTAATGGCTGGCTCCATGGCTTAGTGTGAAAAACGATGAAGAGGTTCCTGATTGACTGATAATTTTAATATTTGCTTCGTAATTTTTTTGTTGGTATATATATTAAAGGGAAGATAAACCAAGAAACACAGTAGCTCTTCTCGAGTAACTGCACACCTAGGCTGTGTGTCATGGGAATTCCACTATAAGTTTATAACTTTTCCCAAGATAAAAAATACTTTAAACTCAGTCTCAATCATAGCATTATAACAACTATTTATTTATGTTACTGTGATGTCTGACCCATTGGTAGCGTGATCTCCACTTGTTGCAGAGGTTCATGGTTCGAATCTGGCAGGCCGCCCTGGTTATTACTTTGGGCGCTCTGGTTATTACTGTGGGTGTACTAACCATAAGATCCCCTGACGTAATTTGCAAGAGCAGGCCATTGTGTGTGTCAGCATAATCGTAAAAATTCGCCCACAAATTACTCAAAATGGATTACCCATAGCAGTCATCTCCCCCTACTCACAGACTAATGCCCGCTCACAGGCTAGGTGCTGAGTCACCTAGTGCTGCACAGGGACAGCTGCCACTGGGAGTGCCCTTTCAAGTGTCTGAGATGAGATGTTTTGTAAGGCCATTTGGCGTATAAAGTTTTCTGAGATGCCTCCGGCGCAAAGGTCACTCTATCAAGAGTTATTTATTATTAAGAGCACTCCTTGAAGGATGTGTTGACTGCGTAACAGTGGAAAAACTGAAAACCAGACGGTGATGCGATGAACCAGAGCCCATGAACAATGAGCTGAATGCATTACAACAAGAGCTATAAGCCAGACCGTGATGAGTTCATTTCATTTCAGCAGTTTGCCTTGTTGGATCAACCAATAATCCGATTCCTCCTCTGCCTTCCCCTCTCTTCCCCTTCCTTGTTGCTGCCTCCCCCTCCCCCACCTCCTCCATGTGGCCACCAGGAATGTTGGCAGGAAGCCCCGCCCATGCCCTGCGCCCGGGCCGGTTGCGCCGCGGTGGCCGTCGGGGGCCGCCTGTACGTGACGGGGGGCCGCATAGCCCCCCCGGGGGGTGGGCTCTTCTCCTCCATGGCGTTGCCAGGCGCAGAGGGCTCCTTGTGGGGGACGGCGCCCCCCGTGACGCTCGACAGCACGGAGATGTTCGACCCGACCAGCGGCACGTGGCAGACGCTCGGAAGGCTCGTGACAAGCCGCACGGAGGCCGGCCTCGCCGCTATCTAAACTCGCGCAGGGCCGAGCAGGCTTGAGATAGACTTTAGCAGGCCCAACTGGACCCTGACTGAGCCAAATTAGACCTGGAGAGCCATCAACCGGGAATTGCTAGGCATGATTAGGCCTGAACTGGTCCCACGATATCATGACCAAATACGGACTAGAACTGAACTGGTTTAGCCAGATATTATTAGGCCTCTTTGGGAACAAGAAGTGCCTAACGAAACCCCAATCAGATCCGTTTATGTCGAGGATAATGCAGGAAGGTCGAACTGGAGTTTAACAGGTCCTGCAATATCCTGATCGGGCCCAGTTAGGCCTGACCAGGCAAGACCAGGTCTAAGTGGGCCTGATAAAGATTCCTAATGAGACTGGAGGTTAAGATTGGGTGTTAGCGGAGGTCAGTGTGTCTGCTTACTAAATTGAACATGGAGTTGCACTCATCTCAGTTGACAATCACAAGCCTGGGCTAGAAATTATATATTTCCATGACAGAGACAAGTCTCACTGTAGGACAACCACGCTTGACTTCAAGGTTGGACCTGTTTAGACCCAATTAGGCCTTGTAAGGTGTGGTTCTGCACAGCCAGGCCAGTATTAATTTTATTTACCCAAGAGGAATGATCATGAGCCTCGTCAAACCCAGGCAAGACTTTGAATTTGAGACCTTTTGACCAGGCATCACACGCTGTGACCATTGAGTCACGCAGGCTGATAGGGTTAGAGTTGGATTGAAGGTCGTATCTCTGCTATAGTGTTACCCATTTGGGTATATGGAAATGTGTGGATTTAGGCAGTTATATGTCATTAGTTATGTAATATAAAGTATGTACATTTTGACTTAAAGCTTTCGCGACTGCATGAATTCATATTCTTTGGGTAAAGCCACGTAAAAATAAAAAATAAATCACGACGTTTCAATCGCAACACAAGTATTCTCTCACAATACAGTGGCCACCTCCACAGCTTCGTCGTCGTGGAGGTAGCCCAGCTCACCAATCTTACATTGACATGCAAATTTCTTCACTAGCCCCGCCCACTTCGTTTATGACCCTTGGGCTACACCCATCTCAAACCTTTATAACATCCTGCCTCAGCAGCTCTCCCGCTATATTTTTTCACCTGATGACGATTGCTTGTGTTGCGATCGAAACGTCGTGATATTTTTATTTATTATTCTTTTTCTATCTAAGTGGCTTTACCGAAAGACCCAAAGAATATGTACATTTTGTACATATCTAAAATATGATTTATTTCTCACCTTTATTTAATCAGGTGATAACCCATTTATAATCATCTATTGTCATCTTTTTTTTATAAGTGTCGGGTCAGTTTTGTTTCACAAATACAAAGGAGGCCTCATCACAGCTAAACACTCCACTATTCCTGATGCAATTATCTGGCTCTACATGAACTTCAGCCATACGAGGAAGTATTTATTTTCACATTTTAATAATTTTTTGACTAAAATGACACATTCAAGTGTCTCCTTGCTGAAATAAGGATAGTGCTCATATCTACTGATGACCCATAGCCGGCAGTGGCAATTCCACAATCATGAATGGGCCAGTCTTTACAGGGAACGACTACAAGACGTGCAATGACTTTTACACTCGCAATACATGCGTCGAATTGTGCGTACGAGAATATATTTACAATTTGTACAAATAATATGCAAGTGATGTGCTGTTACATTTAGGCTGAAAGAGTTGGAACACGAAATACGAAGCTGAAAAAATGAGAACCACAAACGTGATTGAAAAATGGGGACAAAGTATTCCCGATAAATACACCGTGGAGGGATGGGCTGAGCCTGTCCCCAAATGAGATTTTAATTTATTTGCAAGATTCCAGTTGAAAGTCTTTACATTTATATTTAAATGTTTGATTTAAAGTCGCCTGGTTAAATAACCGATGTGGGTTTTATTGCATTAAAGTGGTGTGGCTTTTGTAAATACTGTTGTTTTTCCATAAAAGTCCTTGACATTGTTTAATCTTTCCTGCTCTAATTATACTCTGCTTGTGCTGCTGCCTGTATTGTGTTGTCATAAGATTAACCACTTTGCATTGGGAAACTGCCATGGTCAGCTACGCAATGGCCACTGTCAGAGAATGCCCTCAAGTTGATGTCACAGAACTACTACTGAAGCGCTTTGGGTTTCCTCTTGTCGACACTCGGGCCACACAGGCTGCCGAGGTATTTGCTGTATGGCATTAAAGCGTAAACATGTTTTGCTTAGTCTGCAGAGTGGGAAATATATTAAATTAAGTGACAAACCAGAAACATGTTTTTATTAAGTAATTCATAACTGGAACTGAGTCGACCAACTTGCCACACTTGAGAACACGGTTGGCTAAAACATGAATCAGTATCAGGATCTAAGCAATTAAAAGCTCAATGTTGCCGACACGGGCACTGCAAAGGACGGTGGTAACATCTGCAAATCTCTTCTGCATGTGAACATATTTTTTTATTCCGGTTTATAATGTTATTTTCTATTGGTGTCTGCTTTACACTTTCATGGAATCCTCTCTTTCATTGGCCACTTGTCTTTCGCTCGCTGTAAAGATGGAAGCTGTCCGAATCGTACATTGGCAGTTGAGTGGTGTGCTGTGAGGTGGACACTTGCTCCTCAAAGGAAGAATACACTCCCAATAGTGTTAGGCATAGTGATTGAGTATTTCTTGTTTCTGTGCCGTCGGACTGAATGTGACTAATTTGCCGTTGAGAATGTCCACTGCTAGAGGGAGTAATTCTATTTTAGCTGCAGTCTTAACTGCGGATCTGTTAATGTGAATACCTTGCAGTGTTTTGCGACTGCTTTGACACACGTTAAAATGTTTTATACCAAATTATTGCTTTGAGTCTTCCACGGACGTTAACGTCTCAAGAGTCCACCATCTCCAGGAATCGTCTTTTGCCCGTTTCCCGCAGTACGTTGCACGTAACCCTCTCGGACTGTGAGATGGTTTTTTCAAGCTCACAATTTTAAAGGTGATATCTGCTTTCTTTGGACCTACATTTTTTTGTAAGGACGACCTTATACCTCAAGTGCATATACTCAGGGCGAACTTTTGTAGTGGCGTTTTGGTCGATGGAATTCCAGATTTTGCGGTTCCTGCACACGGCCAACACCAGTGACGATTATCTGAACCGGTTCTGGGCGGGCCTTTTGGATGGTTTTATTATCAGTCTCACATCGTTTTATATTGTTGGCCGAATTGAAAATGTGACCTGAATATAGTGGCAATACTATATGATCAGTCTTTTGCGCAAAGGTTAAATTGCATTGGGGTTGGTGTTCTTGCCCTGTCGGCAAAGACTACACAGACTCCTGGGGCAAGGCGCTGTCAGCGAGCACCTATGAAGGACGAACGGCACACGAGGGGGTGGGTGGGTGCCTAGCACAACGCCTGGCCGTTTTAGTCTCCCCAGTGTCGATGTTTATCACCCCAGGTACTCATTTGAGTCAACCTCGGGGAGGCCCAGGACCGGTTCAGATAATTGTCACTGGTGTTGGCCATGAGCGGGAATCGAACTCGGGTCGCTGGGTTCGTAGCGCAGCCCGTAAAGTACTACACTACCGTTGCCCAAAAACTCACACTCCTACACACACAAACACTCCTTCACACACAAACACTCCTAGACACACACTCTTAGACACAGAAACACTCCTACACACAAACACTCCTAGACACACAAACAATCCTACACACAAACACTCCTAGACACAAACACTCCTAGACACACAAACACTCCTAGACACAAACACTCCTACACATAAACACTCCTAGACACACAAACACTCCTAGACACACAAACACTCCTAGACACAAACACGCCTACACACACAGACACTCCTAGACAAACACTCCTACACACAAACACTCCTAGACACAAACACTCCTAGACACACAAACACTCCTACACACAAACACTCCTACACACACAAACACTCCTACACACACAAACACTCCTGGACACAAACACTCCTACACACAAACACTCCTAGACACAAACACTCCTACACACAAACTCCTAGACACACAAACACTCCTAGACACACAAACACTCCTCGACACACAAACACTCCTAGACACAAACACACCTAGACACAAACACTCCTAGACACAAACACTCCTACACACACAAACACTCCTAGACACAAATACTTCTACACACACAAACACTCCTACACACAAACACTCCTAGACACAAACACTCCTAGACACAAACACTCCTACACACAAACACTCCTAGACACAAACACTCCTAGACACACACAAACACTTCTACACACAAACACTCCTAGACACACACACTCCTACACACAGACACTCCTAGACACACAAACACTCCTAGACACACAAACACTCCTATACACAAACACTCCTAGACACACAAACACTCATACACACAAACACTCCTAGACACACAAACACTCCTAGACACACAACACTCCTAGACACAAACACTCCTACACACACAAACACTCCTAGACACAAACACTCCTACACACAAACACTCCTAGACACACAAACACTCCTAGACACACAAACACTCCTACACACAAACACTCCTACACACAAACACTCCTACACACACAAACACTCCTAGACACAAACACTCCTACACACAAACACTCCTAGACACACAAACACGCCTACACACAAACACTCCTAGACACACAAACACTCCTAGACACACAAACACTCCTAGACACACAAACACTCCTAGACACACAAACACTCCTAGACACAAACACTCCTACACACACAAACATTCCTAGACACAAACACTCCTACACACAACCACTCCTAGACACACAAACACTCCTAGACACACAAACACTCCTACACACAAACACTCCTACACACACAAACACTCCTACACACAAACTCCTAGACACACAAACACTCCTAGACACAAACACTCCTACACACAAACACTCCTAGACACACAACACTCCTAGACACTACAAACACTCCTACACACAAACACTCCTACACACACAAACACTCCTACACACAAACACTCCTAGACACAAACACTCCTAGACACACAAACACTCCTATACACACAAACACTCCTACACACAAACACTCCTACACACAAACACTCCTACACACAAACACTCCTAGACACAACTACTTCTACACACACAAACACTCCTACACACAAACACTCCTACACACAAACACTCCTACACACACAAACACTCCTAGACACAAACACTCCTACACACAAACACTCCTAGACACACAAACACTCCTAAACACACACACTCCTACACACAAACACTCCTACACACACAAACACTCCTACACACAACACTCCTAGACACACAAACACTCCTACACACAAACACTCCTAGACACACAAACACTCCTAGAACACAAACACTCCTAGACACAAACACTCCTAGACACACAAACACTCCTAGGCACACAACCACTCCTAGAACACAAACACTCCTAGACACAAACACTCCTAGACACACAAACACTCCTACACACACAAACACTCCTAGACACACAAACACTTCTACACAAAACACTTCTAGACACAAAACACTCCTAGACACAAACACTCCTACACACAAACACTCC